TGTTCCGTCTCAGAAACTAAAAACTAATTTTATTTTCGTTTAGGTGGAACCCTCAGTCTTTAATTTCTTTTTACATAATTTTTTTCTTTTTTTTTATAGATCTAGCGTATTAAATGTATCTTGTTACGAAAACATACTGATATACCCAAGAAAATGTGTTTCCATTACAACAAAATAAAAACGCATTCAATAACGGCCAAGCTAGCGTTCGTCTATGAGTTGGGCTTGTCCCCTACTGTTCAGCTACAAAGTCGCCGTTAACTGACCTTTTGAGGGAAACCCGAACCAGCCGAAATCATAAACTTTCAATCCGGCAAGAATCTACAATTGTGTTGGGTCTCAGCTATTTAGCTTTTCGGCGATTTTCGCAAACAATGGCAACACGTTATTGGTTAATACCGTAAGCTTTCACGTTCCTTTTAATTCTGGAAACAGGCATAGCACCCCCCCCCCCCCGCCGTAGAGAGGTGTGTGCCCCGGCTGAAGGACACGTGACATAATTTGGTGAAAAAAAGTTGGTCGTCGTTTTACTTCGAAACATCCTTCTTTGTTAACGTAACACAGACCATATTTTGAAAACCGGTGTTAAATCCAGTTACAATTTAGCGGCGGAGAAACACCCAAGTCAATTCAAAAAACGATTTACCTATTACGACAAGGCAGCAATAAATCTGAAAAAAAATATAAAGTTTGTCCATTTCTCGTCAAAGTTCGAACCTCAAATCCAAAATTTCGTCGTTGGATGTATCATATTTAGACACTATTTTTACTCCAAACCTAAGCACTGATCGGCGGCCTTTGCTGCGGTGTTTGTTTCTCTAATCGTTACCCCCTGTGTTTGCCTGACTTCCTACTCCATATTGCTTCACCACCTCAACTCTCCTTGGATTTTCATTAGTATGAAGCAGTCATGTCTGTTCAACGAATTCCTGTTACTTCTCAGTTAGTATCAAGTGTAGAGCTCGAATGGGCATAAATTTGTGGGGCGTATAATGATATTTCAAAGAACACTTAAATGTCCCGTGCAAATGATATCCCAAAAATTTGTAATAATTAAATAACAAATTTGCAAGTACAACATCGTATGAGTTGGCCTATTCCCACCCAGATTAAAATCGAAAACTTTCTGGTTCCAAGTGCCAAGCACTATTGTCTGCTTTAGAGTAAACAGTGTATGGCTACGATTTCAATGGCTGCCCCTTAATCATTACACTTTAGTCCTCAGTGGAACTTCAAATGCGGTACTCTATCGCCATTTTGCAGGACATTTCTTCTGAAAGAGCGCCATTGCATATATATATATATATATATAATCGCTAATTCAACCTTATAGAGGTCTCGTGCGCAAAGGTGGATGACTTTTTTCATGGTATCGCTTATAGTACGAGCCGTTCCTAAACTCCGCACATGTGACGCTGGATCGTCCGTAGGCAAGCTGGCAGTCGATTAAAGAAAGATCCCTCGAATAGGAGTTCCTTGTGCCTGCATCTAGACAAACTGTGGATAAATACATGTGGACATAGCACTAGCAGACAACAGAAAGCCCATTTATTATCTCGGCTGCCAACAGGCATCTAGAAAAATTAGTTGCCTCAGCTATTACCAATACTGTCATCGTAATCATTATGTCAAGGAAGCTTCCAAAAACAATCTCGTATTATGACTATTATAACGACTATGATAATGAACGCAGCAACTGATCAACATGCTGCCATGACAAACGTGCCATGGTTTTGCGTGCACCTAATCTGAAGTAACAGAGATAGCGAATCAGCATCGAGTAAGTGACTAACTGAACACAGCGGACTGCTGTAACCGTTAGATAGCTGTTCAAAGGACTTTTACTAGCGACACCACCACTGTTGCGACGATAACAACAACATCAAGTGGCGCACACAGCATTGCCATTGAGAACTGGCTAAGTGTGCGGCCGAACAGTATCATCGAACTACTACAACAGAAGCATTGGATCAGACCAGACTCGGCCCGACCACACCCGATAAACAGGCGGCAAGCAAAGAGCAACGTTGTAATAAAGCTACTTATTCGGTTAGGTGCTATTTTAATCGTTTGATGTTGACCCTGATACTGCTGCTAGTGTGAAAGAGGAGAAGCAGAGACGGACAGCAGATACTTGCGGTTCCGATTTTGCTTTTGCTGCTTGCATAGCCCTTGTTCATCTCTGCTTGTCTGAGTCGATGAACCCATGATAGCAGCTTGCAATGGAACAAGACGCTAGTATAGACGCAGGGGAGCGCACGACAAAAGACAAGATGGGGTTAGCTCAGGGCAACTGTGAGTAAGTGAGCTCCGCGATCAACAAGCAAGACAGCAGAATAACAGCGGTAACAACAATGGCCGATGGATATCAAAGCAGCTCTAATTGAAGACTGTTTTGCTTTTTGACCTAATCCTTGTAGAAGAAATAATAGGAATAGCGGCTGTTATTGACAGATAGACTCACCATAACGGTAACGTTGATGACTGTGGCTTTGGTGACTTAATTTGACTTCCAACAGGACCAATTGCAAGTTGTTTGCGTTGGAAGAGATGGCCTAATACACATTCCAGCTGACCAAGTAACCGACGAAGGCATCACGAGCCCTAGGCACCTAGGCTGGACTGAATAGCGGCGGCTAAAGACGTCCAGAAATGACCCAGAGTACGCCGCAAATAAATATTACATATATAGAAGACATTTATGCTATAACGATATGTAAGTTGCAAAATGTTTGAGAGGAAGCTGACTTGTGGCGTACCAAGCGTGCATTATGTATACGCGATTCGGAAGAAATAAACAGCCGTAAACATTCACGAAATCGGGTCAAAATATCTTCACGCGATTTGTGCACAGATGCATGGCTGCACGATTTGCAGTTGTAGTTTTATCTGGAATATTTATAACTGGAGCGCGATGTCGGGTTCACACGCTCTCAAACAGGTTTACGACTTTGTTGATACTGTGACATCTGAAATCAAATTTTATTGTACTAACAGATAACCCTTTAATTAGGCTTGTTAGGTTCGCTTGAACTCCCTTGATGTCTCAGCTATTATCCTTTTTGAGAAAAAAAAAAACGAAGGGTCAATACCGACTTGTCCATTAAAAAACACCGTGTAGTCTACCCAACTAAGGTCAAATCAAGGGGGATTTTCGTCTACACACCTTCTGTCTGCATATTTACGTACACATACAAGCGAGCTTTCCATGCCCTAAACATGACAACTGGTCAGGAAGTATACCCTACTATTTACTTTGAGAAGCCATAGACAGAGAAATTACATATGGATACGCGAATTGTAGGCACATGGTTATCGAGAAGCTGTCAGAGAGCTGGGATAAGCGTCTCAAAGGAGTTAAGTCAATCTAGCCCGACTAGTGCAAAAGTCGTTTAATCTCAAAATATATTGGATTGATTTATAACAGCGTAAGAGAACAAGCAAAATAGTCAACGCCTTCTGTTGAATCAAGAGCCATGTGGAGAAATTCGCATCAGTTTGTTTTACATGTCTGCAGTCGGAGCAGTACAATGAAAAGGGTTTGCGCGTAAATCAAGCAATTCATAGATTCCTCCAGCTAATTGTAGTTGTTCACAGATATTCTCGCTGCTATATCATTAAAACGCTTAGACTTTTCGGAGCTTTTCAGTAAATCTGTTTCTGAATAGAGACCGTGGATCCACAATAATGTCGGCTCATTTTATCGATGCCCTTTCTACGGCGAATTAACCGCACAGAGATTTCCAAGAATTGGTGCAGGATGCATATTTGAGTAATTTTTAACAATACTCGGAATACGAGTACGGTGCAACGCCCTTACCATCGAAACAGCAATACCGACGAAATTGCGAACTGCAACAAGATCTTTGCATGGCCTGTTTTTTCAGAGCAAAATATCTAAATAGTTAATGCTACGAATCACAGGATCAATTTCAGAGCGATAGACGTGCTGCTCACCAAATAAAGCGTGAAACGCCAAATCGCAAATGAATGAAGTAATCTATCTTCTGCATGTCATTTTGTTCTGGCTGCCGAGCTTTTCAATGCCAAACAAACCTTGTTATCAGTATATTATTTCGGTTTGTTTGAAGTGTTCAAGAAGCACAAAAACCATGCTTCGCGGCAAGGAAAAGTCAGCTAAACCGACCGCCGCACCGAATGGTGCTTGATTGGACTCATCTTCAAGACTAACACACGCCTGAATGAGCTTTTTTCTTTAAAAATAGCTCAACTATTTTTTTAAATAGATTCACGGCCGCATAAGCATAAGAGACCCATCCACTAAAGGAGTAGAACTTCGAAAGGGCGCAGTTGCTATGCTAGTACCAGCAGCGATAAGAAACACGTGACTGAGATTATATTCACCTCCAATACAGAAGATAACGTTTTGTCTAACTGTGTTTTGCTTTAAGTCTTAGTTATAACCCTGATATTAATACTAAAATAACCGCAGAATAACCGCTACCGATATGAAATAATGTTGATCTATACTCTCTACACAGTTGAGGCTTGTAATAAAATAGCTATATGCAAACTCACACATACAATGAAAATTGTTCGCTCCATATGCTGATACTAGTCGAGAGCTAGGATATTTAGGGGAAATAGGCATTGTTAAATGTTCGAGAAATTTTCATCTGTCAAAGAACCCGATCGCCTGCTTTATCGGAAAGCAGGCCCCTGTAGCTTTCCAGCCAGATACTAGTCAAGTTCAGAGCCCTCGAAAACGGCTTTAAGTGAACCTGCTTGCTTACCACTTTATCTTACCACGCCTCGAAGCTCGGGCGTTGCCCGTAGCCAAATATCCAAATTAACTCTGCACTTACCGATAGCTTCGACCCTCAGTCTTTACTATAGAGCAACACAATTACTAGCTGCGAGGACGGTGTTTTTAAACTGAGTAGTCTGTGGTTTGCCTTAAATTAACCACCCACTTGTTAATGGCCGATTGATTTATAGAAAGCCACCCAATTAAGTAAAACTTCAAATACTTCACTTACCCCTGATTCTCGTTTGAATTCGACGTTCGCCCCCGTTAACGCGATCTGTCGAAGGTTTAGATGGCATCCAACGGAGAAGCTGCACACAACATTGTTGATCACAACATCAATTTCCGGTTCTTGCTGTTGCTGTCCCTGTTGGACTTCATGGTCTTGCAGTTGTTCGTTCTCAACGGCAATCAATGCTCCTTCATCAACACCTGCTGAACTTTGATCTTCACTGGCGTAATCACTTGGCGGGAGCAGCAGCGTTCCATGGTGATTTCTTGCCTGGCTTTCCATGGCGTGGCTTCCGTGCTCGCTTTCTTGTTCGTTCAGATGATCTCCCGAAGTCGCCGACGACGACTGTAGCTGTTGCTTCAGTACAGATATTGTCACTGGCTGTGCACTGCTATTACAATTAGTAATGGGCGTGGTAATGATGCTATTACTGACCGTCGTAATTGCGTTACTTCCAGTGCTGTTTCCGGCGTTTCCGTGCCGGCTCACAACAACACCGCCTACCGCAACTCCGCTATATGAGTTTGCCAACAACAATCGTCCTGAACAAGCAATCGTCGTAGAAACGCGACTATCGCTGCTGCCGCTGCCATGGTTATGGTTGTTACTCCTGCTGTTATTTAAGCTATTACTGTTGCTGCCACCACCTTCGGGACTACTTGTAGTATTATTATTATTGTTATTGAGGTTGGTCACGACTCCTACTGGTGCTTCAGCAGCAACCGCCCCTATGGCAGTTGTAGTAGATGATGCGGACGTCAAGGTAATGATTCCTGCAGTAGCAGATGCGGAGGCCGTTGAGAAAACTCTGGTCGGCGAAGACGTCGAGGACTTGGTCATTGACGTTGATGCCGACGCCAACACTATAGTCTCGTGATGATGATGATTATTATTATTATTGCTGCTTGTGTTGCCCACACTAACCCCGCTGTTTACGACAATCTTGTGAGGACTGCTAACAACACTCTCACTAATTGCAACGTCAATTTCACTCGAAGTCGTTGTTACGGCGGTAGCTGGCGAAACGGTGAGAAGGGGCACAGTTATTGTGCCACCTCGTTGCAATATTGTTACGGAAGGTATTGTAGTACTCGAGGAGATCGAGGCCGCGGCCGAACAGGCCGATGCTAGCGGTGACGAGGACATAGAGGTTAGAACCGATGTCGTCGCCGCGTTGGAGGACGGCTGCGGATGGACTACGACGCAGTTGCTCTCGTTGTTGGTACTGCTTGGTATTATGGCTGTATTGTTACCGTTGTTGCTGATGTTGTTATGGGTCGTACTCGAAGAAGTTGAGTTGTTGTTGTTAACAAGAATGGTGCTGCCGCCCGAGCTCACAGTCGAGTTGTTCATGCCACCGGTTGTCATCATCGTCGAAGACGAATGGCTTCCAGTCGGACTAATGCCTCCATCGGAGTTGTTGCCGCCGTTACCATTTGCTCCGCCGCTTACAGCACTTCCAGCCGTATTGGTCACCGCGACGGTCACCGTACTCACGCTGACCGGCGCGTGGTTATGCACCAGGCCGGCCATGACGTCAGCCCAGCACACGGGGATGAACGCCGTTGGCCTCAACCCGAGCTCGGAGCTCCGACCGACTCCACACCGCCTAGTTCGTCGGAGCCACAGGCTCCGCTGGCACAGTAAGCTTTGTCTGTCAACGACGCACCTCGGCGGTGGCGAGCTGCGGCAGCCGCAGCAGCAGGACTAGATTGTTATTCGTGAAAAGGCCACGGCCGCAGAAGCTTTTCCTATACAAATTTATCACTATTCACGGTAGCCTTAACTCGAATTCGGACTGACCCGAGGCGTATCTTGATAGTGCATGAATACGTCACTAAACCCAAATTGATACCAGCCCAAGTGGCCTTATTACTCGCTTATACAGATTACTTTATCTGTATCTTCTGATTCGCACAAAGCTTCCTAATACTGATCTCAAGGTAGTAGTTGATGGCTATCGATATTAAGGTTGGTCTTGTTGTTTGGCCAAGCTTCACTTTGATGAACACAAAGGCATGAGGAGAGAAGAAGGCCGAAAACGACAAAAAGTCTTCTGGCAATCAGGAATGCTCAGGCCAATAATATTAGCCTAGGAGAATGCAATATTCTAATACCAGTGTTTCTTAACTAGCTTGTTTTCGGCCTACGGCTGCTAAAAGCACGTCCGAAATGACACTGTAATGGTGACGCCTAATCGTTTGTTCTTGAAGACTCAAATACATTTGTTTTAATCTTGTTTACTTCTTTTCTATTGGCTTTTTGCAAAGCCTGACTTGTTAATTTCGCTTTTAATAAATTAAGTATTATTGCAAGAATATAGTTCTTGCTGTCGTTCTTACTGACGCTTGCGAATGGATTGAAGCACGCTTCGTCCTGAAGGCTGTTGATTTTTTCGTTACAATACTGTTGTGGTTGTAGTTTCCATCTTCGACCTCGACAAGGGCAGGTTCACACTTCGTTAATATCTATTACACGGAATTCGTTGTTGCCGACGTGGATGTTGTTCCCCCGGGCTTCTCCCTGTCAGCGAGTTGTTGATTCCCCTATTGTGGAAATACGAAAAAAAGCTGATTGTAGTTGTAGGCACTAGTAATAAGAACTGCATTTAAATTCACACAAATTTCATCATCATAAACATTATAATATCAATTGGCCATTCGGGGCAAACTGGCTGGCTGGCTGGCTGGCTGCATCGACATCTTTGGACCTCACAGCTCATGTGTTTTTCGTTATTTGCAAGTGTGCGCTGATATATGGAGACTACATAGGCCTTCCCATCTCTTCCTACAGTGGTCACTTTTGTCCTTTGTTCTGTCCTGGTTTTTTTCGCACTCTTAAACTACCAGAACCTTTTGTTGTCACTGGTATTAGTAATGCAAAGGCAGGGATTACATTTACAAACCAACCAATGGCGTTGGGGCGATTTGTTCTCAACGCGTGACGTTCGTATTATTCCATTATACACAGAGTCGGACAGGCAACCAAAACACCCTACTTCACTTTGTACAGCCTAAACTAGGATTAGATGTTGTGATGGTCAAGTAGCTCGGCAAAAAGTCCATACATCGGTGGCAATGTCAGAGCGCATCAGCAACTGTAAACCACCTACTATGTTGACTGGGTAACACGTTTCTATGTGATGGAATATCAGCACCTCTTGCGAAATTAACAATTACAATAATCGTGTCACAACTGTACTATTCAATTCAACCAGCAGCGATCCAGCATTAACAACAAACGGTCCCGGGCGCAGATCGCAGCGACACTCTACCACCCCACACGACTAATAAAAGAAGCCGGTTGAGGAAAACGAATACCCGCCATTGCTGTGCGTGTCAACTTCGTCTTCGCTCTTAACGTCACATCATAGTCCCAGCAGCATCGGCAGCAGCTGCACCGAAGCTGGCGTCACATCGTCCACTGCCGGAGCCATTACACTACGAAACAACACCGACGGCGATCGTAGCAGTATAACGACAATTGCAATGAGACACCAGTCGACCGCTGACTCCAGAACAGCTGCGTGTTTTGTCATCGAGTGTAATTCGTAATGGCAGTAGTAATGATTTATATTGCTGCTAATCGCAGGGGAGTCGCTAAAGTACCAGAAAATGACAATCAATAAAGTGTCGCCGAGGGCTCCCTTAATCATATCTCAGCCTAACTAACATGGGCACCGCAAACGTATAGCCAATGTCGCAGCGCGAACTTCGAGAGCACATGCACAGTATCACTGTATTAATTAAACATCACTGTCGATGAAAAAGGCCCGTTTGTGTTCGGGCTTCACTAGCAATTGAGTGGCCGCCGCTGGTTGTTGTTCGCCGATTCTGATGTTGTCACCTCCTGCCAATTTATTTACTTGTGGCTTGGTCTGCTGTCGCCGCTCGACAATGCCGCTGATATCATGTGAATGCATCTCGCAGACAGGATTTTTGTTGTTAATAGGGGAATAAAAGCGTAACTAAGGAAAGAGGCAAACCCCGCAGGAACTCTACGAGAGTACACGATGGGAGAGGAGAAGGGGAGGGGGGTGGATTTTATTTTGTGTCATAGCTGTCCTTGTAATTAGCAGTAGCTACAGCATAAGTGTCCTTGTCGGGTCGTCCCACGCGTGAGTCGCCGAAATTCGTGCCGTCTTCGAACGGCTGATATTGTGCTGACTAGCTTCCTTTGGGCCCTGGCCTTTGATTATATCTACAGGCGCTGGAAAACACGAGCTCTCATTGTTCTTTCTGTCTCGAATCGTAATGGGCTTTTTTCTGTTTTCTTTTTCAATTATCAAAGTATAAATGTGTCGGGTCGTTGCTCGGAGGCCTGACACAGCAATATGTCATGTTTTTCCCGTATATGAGTTATCCTGAAACGACTACAAAGCAGGACTACTATTACAAGATCAGGCGAAAGGAAGACTCGAGCAGGTGATCATTTGGATTGCTCATTGGAGCCATTAAATGGGAGGCGGCCAGATTTCAGCGATCAGCAGTTTGATCTCTAAGTTCAAATCGAACGAACCTTGATCGCGCAACGACGACCGCACAGTTGTCGATCGCCAACTGCCTGTTATTGTTTATGTGGTTTATCGTTGTTGTTGTTCTAATCAGCGGCAGCGGCAGCAGTAATTTATATATAACCGTATGAGCATCCAGCCGTAGCGTAACAATAATGATACCAATAGCAGCAGCGATATTAACAGAGGCAGTTGTTCTTCAACGGTCTTTCGGTTGACTCGAGGCGGCTCTCGTTACCATCGGCAGCAGCATCAGCAACTGCTGCAGTTGCGGTGACGTCGTGTATTGTAGATAGGGGTAGCAGTAAACCGGTAGGCGCACACGTTCGCTAGCCGCCAATGGACCGAATGAATGAATGAATGAACGACCGACCGACCGACCGATTCAGCGGTGCCTGCTGACGGTTTTCTCTGAGAGGGGACAAGCGGCACCCGCTCACTTGCACAGGAACACATTCAGACTGACAATAGAGAGAGACACGCCAAAGCACCACCATCACGAGCGTGCCGCTGCTGCTACAAGGAAGACGGTGACTACGACAACAACAACTTTTAGTTACAATCACAGTTATATTTAGCTCAAACGCTCAGACAACAAAGTAAGATCGCTCGTAAATGACAATAATGATTATGGTGATCATAATAATGGTGACTGTGATGATGTAGCCGTAAACAGCAAGCCAGTTACTCAATCACGGACTCGGTATTAGACGGGAGCAGGCAACAACAACAGCGGCAGCAGCACGAACCGAACAGGCGAGCGCAATTGTAGCACAAAAAAACACTCGTCGACTTGTAATCGCCTAACATTATTGAGATCCGAACGATTATTTTAGTTGTAGGCGATATTTACGTACTTTCATTTCGAAACCCATTTAACAACTCATTTGCGGACACTTAGAACTTGTTTAACGCAAATCGTAGACAACATTGGAACATATGAATCGGCTGCTGACTGGAGGGGTCGCACAGAACACACGGTAACGACCAACGAGTGAGCCGCACGATTTGGCAGTGATGATAGCTAAAACTTACAGAATTACTAATCGTAATCGTAGTTGTTTGTGCCAGTTATAAACACATACGCACACCGCACCGCACCGCACGGTCAAACGAACGGCCCCCGATTGACCGGAAGATAAGAATTTATTCTATTCTTTAATTATTAAATCCTATTTTCTATTGGTAATGTAGCTTGATTTTCAATCACCACGGATAAACTATGTTCGGAACAGCGTCCTGGCACTGCTGCGCCCCGGAACGACGGTACCGAACCAATCGAATAACGCCGCAACAACGCCAATACCAAGCCGCGATTACGGAGATACGCTCTCCAGTGATGGTCGAGCACAACTGAGTTAAGTAGCAGCACCACCAATAGCAAAGACTGTCATAGACACGAACAGGCACAGCAGCAGGACTTGCAGCAGCCGACCAGGCCAGGCCAGACACACAGAATCAGCGCCACAGACTGACTTACGCAGACATAACACAGGGACAGAACAAAGCAGAGCAGAACGTTGCTGCTTCCGCAGGATAACTCTACGATCCGAGGGACAAACAAACAGACAGACTACTTCGCTCCGTCCCGTGCGTTCACATCGCCGCCAGCCAAGCGGGCGGCAACGGCGACAATAAACATATAGGCGCACACTTATCGGGATATAGCCAGCCAAACGCTCACTCACGGCTGGTTAACTAAGATCCTCCGCTGCTTGGCTGGCTGGCTGGCTGGTTGGCTCTGTTATTGTTATTGTCAACAACGGCAACAGCAGCTAAAGGACGGAAGCCTAATTGCAGACTGGACATGGCGACAACGCCTCGCGGTTGAGTCGGCACTGAATAACGGCGACTGAGTGGCCCAGCTGCCCACTAGAATTGTACATGCATTCTCATGTAGCATCATGATGCTGCTGCTACTGCTGTTCAGCACTGTGAGGTTAGGGATTAGGAATCGGTAGGTTAAATTTTTGTTAGGTGATGACAGGGCTGGCGGTGGGCATGCTGCCCCAGCGATCAAGCCGCCAATTAGGCAGAACCGACGGTGTAACTGCCAAGTGAGGATGTCTGCTAAAGTCATCTGCTATCGAGTAACAGACGATTGCCACCAAATAGGTTACCATTTTATCATAATGAACACGGCGAATGCTTGCGAAACGCTGAATGTATCGGATTGTACGTCCGATACCGCGGTCAGGCATTCCATCAAACGACTTGTTCTCAGCACGAAACGAAGCGTATTTACGCCCTAATCCGCACCTACACGGCCACGTGTCCTCAAGTTTAGCGGACAAATCGTTACCCACTACACCATCATTGGGACCAATAAAATTAAATGGACTCTGTATGGTCTATGACTGCAGGGTGAGAGTGAAGGCGTGTATGGGTCAGCAATGCTGATAAGTCGGTGCAGCCATGGGATCAAATTGGGTGCTAACGGATGGTGCGATAGCAGCGTAATTCGTATGATTTCGCTGTGCGTTGTCTCATGTCGAAATTATTAGATAAGTAACGCTAGAGAGCGAACGGAGTAAAGTTTAATTTAAGTTGTACCTTCTGTAGATATTATTTGTGTTTTGTGCTAACATGTATTTTCATAATGATGATCATTTCCTTAGAGAATTGAGGAAGATATTGAAAAGAGACGGCAATCTGTAACCAAAAACAGCATCTTCCGGCAATCCCGCAGGCGACATGAGCGCTGTACGTATAACGAAATCTAAACAGAAAAAGTTTTGAAGCGCAAGCTTTGAAGGGAATGACTATAGTGTAAGCTCGAACAGTACTAGTTACCAGTTAAACAAACGTAATAAATAATTTTAGCATGATGTATCAAGAACTTACCTCTGATTTTGCCTCAGAACTTTGATACATATAGATAAAATTCATTTGTATACGATATAATACTTTTCGCTTAACCGAATGTATTTTATTTCGAAATCTACTAATAATGCTAAAGTTGATTTCCGTGACCGTTGCTCTCCTGGAAACATTAGCCTTAATATTACCTATACTAAAACTGAAAAAAAGACAGTGTTTTTTCCGAGCAAAGACGCGGATCGAAGTATTTAGGTACTGCATGCGTGACCGATTGCTTCTACTTAGAACCCGCGACGAATAAATTCATTTTCTATTAAAAGTATAGCGTCGTGTAAAACGAAACGTTAAAGAAAACAGGGAAAACAAAAACTCCTGCCTGTACAGGCTTTTGGAAGTTAGGTATTTTCCGAGAATAAGTATAGTTCAAGGTAATTCCGATTATTCAATTAATTCTTTGTGTCGCTCCAATAAATGAAGTACAAGTGGAAGAACTCGGTTCGCGATTCGAATTTGCCCGCTAAGTCTTCTTTTTTCATTTTCTTTCACGTTTTGATAATACCGCTTTTTGAATCCACGTAAACTCTCAAGGGTCCGATTTGCATTTAATGCGATTGTGATCGTTCAAAGTAAACAGTTCGAAATATTTTAACAACAATTAATTCTGAGCCTATTGTGGTTATTTTAATCGCCGACAACTTGCCAGCAGACGACATAAAACCCTTTCCTTTCTGCCTTCTTGATTAGTATATTTTGGAAATGTGAAAAATTCGCAAGTCGGAGCATATCCAGCCGCATTAAAAAAAAAGTTGATTTCAGTAGACGCTCTATCAAGCTAAGTATCTAATTCTAACTGTTATAATCGAGTAGTTTCTGGGGCGCGGTGGCACCATGTATATTACGCCCAATATCGGACCCATGGTGTGTCGCGCCTATTGCTCCTCTCGTGGTGAGATAATGCCAAAAGTCGACGTTTCGAAAGAGTATGTGCAGAGTGCGCAACTCAATTACATGAAGGTAGGTATGTAGTAAAGGACGAATCTATGGCACCGAATTAAGAAGGTGTTCAAAAATAAGAACTTGCTTGGGCGTGTAAGTGTATTCGTGAAGACAACCCCAAATGTCGACTGAATGTAGCCCAAAACTATTTGTTGTCAAGCCGTTTACATAAACATCTATGCGGGTGCGTTCTGCGTACATTGTAGGTAAACTTTTCATTAGACTTCCTGAAGCTGGTTAAATTTTAACTAAATAAGGTAATATATCGTACTTATAATTTCATTTTACATGGAAACGGGCAACTAAGCACTTGTTTCACTTGTAATAGCTTTATAGCACTAAAAAGTGCCTGCAGCAAACCGGAATTAGTTCTCGAAAACGGATACCCAACATATATCTGTATCCTTAGCTCCATCTTTCACGATTATTAAACAATACGTGCGAGACTTGATCGGATCAACCTCTCTTCGTTTAGATAAAAGCAAGACATCACAACCCGTTAGCTTCGGTAGGCTTTTAACGAGAGTTTCGATTAGAAGATCCGACGTATTTTCGATAATTTTTATCACAATTATTGGAAAACGCAGGTCATGTTAGCCTGTCTAAGACATAGCTTATCTTGTTTATTTGTTACCTAGCGTTATGCTTAAACCTATTGTATAATTCCCATATTTGTAGTTGGAAAAATATTATTTTTAGGGCACATAATAAACAATTCAATTTCGTTTTTACCTGTTGTTACAGATATTAGAAAAGGAAAACAGCGATCGAGTTGCTAAGCTGCTAAAGACCAGGTCAAGGAATCGATATACTGCGCTCGGCCTTGGCATATTCGTTATCTGCATCTACGCCTATTCTATAAATTCCGTAAAGCAAGAACACTTCCTTGACGAACTCGACGAATCTTAGAAGGATTATATGTATAGATGTAGAAGCAATCTAGCTATGGCGTATTCATTCTAATAGATATTGTGCGGCAGGCTGATTGACGGCTCACTTTTTTTTGGATATCTGTCTCCTAATCATAGTAGATAAAGATACCACTTTGCCATGATAATTTCGCATTGAGAGATACATCGTAAGCAAGCTAAAGACGACCGTACTATATACAGCACCCAGGTGTACTGGTAAAAGGCGCCTGTTGTCTGAAGAGCGATGGGCGTACACAGTTTTGGGAAAAGAAAAGCTAACATAAGAATATTAACAAAATTATCGTATATTGAGTAAATTACGTCGGCGCAAGGAATCAATTCAGTGGTGAATATAGTGTAGCTGCGTTGGGTACCGCCAGGTATTTATATCTCAATTCGTTGAATAGTGTTAAGAGCGTTGTCTTGTCCATAATTGGGACTCTACAGAATAATTATATGACTGACTAAGTAAATAAAGTCCCAGATCCCAAATGGATATCGCAACACCCGTAATACTCTCTGTTTCTTCGATGTGAAGTAACGCAAACGCTAAATCGAAATAGTATAATAACGTTTTTGCTTGAGATTGAATGCCCCCTTAAATGGGGGTCGTTTAAAGTTTAAATGCTATGTAATTGAAAACTGAGGGAATTTTTACGGAAAAAAATGATAGGCTGAACGTGGTACGCCCTATTTCCGATAAATTAGAGACAATGAAAAGCTATAGTTAACCGTAAATGTTTATTTAATAGTTGTAATGTTGGTAGCAACCGGAAAGAAGGAAAAAGTAGTTTCTATTATAAATAAAACTTATATAAAAAGCATGTAATTTTAACATTAACTGTTTTGTTTATAGCTATATGTTGAGTAAAAAAACCCTGTTCTGATACCGTTCGCGATTCCAGGGCGTTGGGTTGCTAGTAGATATTTTATGAAAGTTCGTTTACATATGGAAAAGAGAGAGAATCGTTCTACGTGTTAGTGCACAGCATCTGTTTACTTAGAAAATTAGGTTTCAGTGAGCAGATAATAGATGTCGAAGTTGGCGTAAGTACATAAGTTACCCGTTTAAAACCTTCACCTTTCAAGATAATTACTGATATTTACAGCTGAATTTAGTAAAAGTGAGAAGCCATGGTCACGAGTCTACTTAAAGGTGCCTATAATGGCCGATTGCTTTCTGGTACGCACTACAAACGGTATTTCATATTCATGACAATTGCGAATCTTTTCCTGATTCTGAAGCAATACTGCAATCCAAACATTCGTTCAAATTCTATAGAATACCGTCTGATAACAGAATCAGAGGTCTTAAATTAAATGGGCTATAGCAGATCTTAAAGTTATGCAAGAGTCAGTTGTTTTTAGTAGTTTTGTTGGTCTACAAATGTGTAGGTTTAGCTTTGCTGTGAAGTATTTTAATGCACCCGGATTTTTTAGGCCGTCGTGCTAAATTTAAGGCAATTGTGATCGTACGGAATATCAAGGTCCATAGACTTCTAATTTTTAGGCCAAACCAAGGCTTTGATCTATGTATGCCAGCTTGCAAACACGACAGAATATTTGAGTAAAACTTTAAATTAAACTGAAAAAAATTAGTGGTTCTCATATTAATCGCTACTATGGTAACATTTTCGTAAGCTAGAGGCGGCAGGTTTAAAGTGCTGTGGACTAGAATATTTTCCTGATATAAAAAAGAGATCTATCATGTTCTATATACTATGTGGCACAATGCTAGTTATTGCTAGCGTCGAAAAAGCTAGCAAAATGGCGACGATTACCCGTCTTAAAGAAGAACCGTTTTTGCTATTCGAGGATCTTTTATATTGTATAGACCGAACCTTATTCGAAATTGATCACCAGTAACCACAACATGTGAATATTGGATACACTGTTGCAATTTAAACCAAATTGGATGAATATACATAGAAATTTATGCATAGTTATTTTTTACAACTCCCATTTGTATATAAAATCAGAAAATATCTTTTTACAAAACATAAATAAGTATATTAAAAATGTATTCAAGTTTTACCGTGCAAGTGTGCTCTGTTCAATATACTCGATACCGCTTACCTAATACGATCCGCTAGAAAAGACAACTGCACACCTTAGATACCGTAGCTCCCTCAAAAATTGATTTTCGCAGATACTAACCGTGATGAGTATTAGCATTCACAAATGCATGCAATTACCGCGATGATGTGGACGTTATTGATGAACTCGATTATAATAAAAATACAAATGAAAGTATTTAATAAAGGCAAGCCTTTTATTTTTTATGTGTTGCCATATAATTTGTCACTGTTCTGCCTTATACTGCGAGCAGCGTGCCTGATTGAATGTTTAAAATGATGAAAAAGCAGGACAAGGACTCGGCTCCGTACTACCCCCAGATGTTATCACCGACCCAAATTTGCCACCAAAGAGTTGTCGTCCATTTACTTAAAGATTTTGCCTTGGTTAAATTTCTTGCCGCCGAACTGGCCTTCCCAGGCCAGGTATTCGTTTACCATGGTCTTAGTTGTTGGATCCTTGGGATCAAGCTTTTTCCACATGTAGGACTCATAATCGGTCTGCCAGTTCTCGCTAAGCGTGAAAGCGAGCTCCGGTCCACGCCATACCCAGATGCCCGATATAGTTGAGCAGTTGTCTTCACCGAAGAGACACATAGAGCCGAAGGAATTCTTACGCATCGTATCGAGACGCTGAAACATGCCAGTGATGAGGTTACACGACATGAACACCTTGGTAAGTTCCTCAGGGTACTTATACTCACAGTACCAGATAGAATAGTTGTCGGGGTCGAATTCGTCCCAAAAATAAGGGATTGACTTCGCCGTATCCTCATTGGAGTAATAACGCTTGAAGTCATCCATGACAAAACTACCCTTAGGGAACTGATCAAATGGATCTTTCTTGCTCGCGGAAACGATAGGTTCTTCCTCAACGTCGGCATCAAAAGCAGCTGGCTCGTCCCCTTCTTTACCTGTAGCAGGTTTTTCTTTCTTTTCCTCTTTTTTTCCGCCTTTTTCTTTCTTGGCAGCTGCACCAGATTTGCCTTGAATCTCGGCGTAGGTCTTAGCATCGAACTGAGCCATCTTTTCGCAAAGTTTAACAGGACCCAACACTGACTTTACGTTTGGTTGGTTCAGAACCGTCTCAAACCAACGGTTGACGTTTCCATACGGCTTACGAAAGGCAGGATCAAGCACAAGCTTGTACAGGGGTAAAAGGGCCGAGAAGACAGAGATGTCGGCCAGCGAGAAGCGCTCGCCGACGAGGAACGTCTTCGGTAGAAGTGTCTTGTTGAGGTACGCCAGAACCGATTTGACATCAGCCTGTGCCTTCTCCGTAGCCTGTTTGTTCTGGGGCATAATGCCAAGGCAGGGGTATGTCCATGCTGCGGCTGGAGGCACAATCTCGTTATCGGCGAATGACATCCACTGAACGACTAGAGCTTTCTCGGTATCGGTATTTCCTCGCAGATCCTCGCCGGCTACAAAGTAAGAGATTGCGTTTGCCTCCGTGATAGCTTGCCCGTCCTTTGTTTCGAAAGCCGGCACCTTGCCTGAAACCGAAGAATTAGTGGCGCGAAAGTTTGTTAACAATGTAACAAAGATATAGCGACTCCATAGAAATATGGAGTCTTGAAGCATTTATGCATTACTTTGCCTCAAGCGGCTATTGTGCGCTCGGATACGATGGCTTACTTCCAGCCAATGCCATGTTTATTCATCGTTATTCAGTTGAACACGTAGTAATATACGATTACTACGATTGGCTCTAGACAAAATACGTTACCGAAATATAGAAATGCAGGGTGATCCTTATTATGGTTGTTACGAATGACAACTAACAATTGATTTCCCACGACGTGGTTAACACCTATCATATTTGACGAAAAAAACTTTTACGGTGAGTGAATTTATTATGCACCACCAATGCTAATACTATATGTCGATAGACCATTGCAGTCTTCCGACCACTCGTATTATGCACGGTCTTCGTGCGGATGGCTAAACATTTTGCTATTAGGAAGTTATCCTCAAATCGTAAACCTACATTGAAGTAATTGTTCATCTCTACTAAGCCAACATATGTTAGCCAGACTACATGAGTGAGAAAACTACATGAATATCATAGCGTAGCCTCTTCAATTACACTTCATATACGCTCTAAGTCCCGCGTTTACTCACGGTAAATCTAATCGATTACAATTAATTATTGTTACACATTGATTAAAATAATTCTAAACGAAGACTTGTCTCCTGTCAAGTTGGCATCCCTTTTAGCCGTTACAGATGACTAAACTATGGGGCGTCCGGCTCGTCTTCTCACACAGACTGCGGTTTATATGCATTTTGGGTTTATATCTAGTTGTAAAAAATTGGCGGTTAGATTTTCTCGAGCTTGCCCAACAGCATTTCAAACCCGAAAACACCATTATGTTATTTGTTGCATGAACACAACGAGTTCAGTTAACTTCCTCTTTTGATTGGTATCATATTCCAACGTGGCTGCTCGCGGTTACCTCCGGCAGCAGGTCCTTGTATAAACATAGCCTACTTCAAAAGACGTAACGGTAACATACTGACATAGGTAGATTCGGCAAAGAAAGCTATGCGCTTACCATTGGGAAATTTGGCGAGGAACTCATCTGAGCGATTAGTTTCGCCGAAGACGAACGCTGGAGGTTCCTGACAAACTTTCAGATTCGCTTTTCCGTACTCGGCAGCGATAAGGATTTGCTGCGAGCGAAAATTGTCCTTGCACGTGTAGAGCATTCCTTGGACGGCCATGTTCGCTACAGTGGGTGACGAATACAAGAGATCCCAACACAGGCCATACACGGTTAGATATTAGCACTCCCCTCGTCAACAGGGCCGTCACCGAGCAGACGACTGGTTACCTGCGAGGGAAAGGGTCTCAGCTGAGGGAAACATGGAGAGAGAATTTGAAACGCGGTACAGTTGCGCAGTAACCGACTAAATATAATTTCGTTACATTTTCTTGTACATCTAACTATACTATGATTGGGCCGAGGTGGTACATCTTCAGGTCTAAATGAAAACTAGAGCACGTCAAGAAATACATATGTAGAACTGTGTGAAGGCAATGTTCATCCATTTAGCAAAATGACGTAAGGCTAATTAATACGATTTTCAGGCTCAAATCGAGCCAACGCACACTTTATTGACATGCATTTTAGATCAAAATCTGAGCAAACGTTTTATAATCTTCTGTTATTCATAACTGACTTACTCATTATATAAACTGTCAGGCGCTGTCATATATGTATGGGTTTCATGGTTTTTCATAGATACGTAAGAAGACCAATTGTTTCCTCTTCTTTTTGTCTCTCTTTGGAACAACTGGGAGAAAATACTCTGTGCTAGACGGTAATTAGAGACGAAATAATTCATATAAGTATACATAACAGTGTGCTAATATGATACAAAGTGAATCTAAGCAACCCCAAAGATTACGTGACCTGTATAATTAAAAATCAAAAAACTTATTTACTCTAATTAACACGAGACCTAATAATCACTGATCAATCTAACTGTTTGGAATATCTTTCTTCCAAAGTTCACATATCTAAACATCACAAGTCATAATCGACGATCTTGTTTTAATAATTATAAGACAAAGATACTTTTTTTAAGGACTGGTCATCATTTTGACGAGGCCGCTATAGCCTGTCTGCAAGACCTGCGAAAAAAGCAAATTGTTGACTTCTGGGCTATCTATGTATTGTACACCAAGCAATGGAAGGGAAAACAATTCGAGAGACCCACGAATCCCGTAACCGAACTGAATCATACGGCGGTTGATACAAAATTGAGCTGCCCCAACCTGCATTTTGTGATAGAATATTATATAATTTAGAATATACGATATTACCAAGTGAGCATAACGTCGTACAATCAAAATAGCAGATAAACTGTACCCTCAACGACTGAACTCGTCGGATGTCGATTATTATGCGCCCTCGAATTGACTAAGTCGGTAATAACTTCGAAGACACATTTATGAATTCCGCTGTTGAATGAGAATATCGACTACCAGTTTCTGACGCTGATTTTTCTGTAGAAATGTTAATGGGTAATGTGGTGTACATTTCAGGTATATACGCGGTCGAATCAGTCCTAAAAGGCTACGTTTGCCTTATTGACAATCTTAGCTATGGATCATATTATAATTTGAAGCCACTAGCGACTCATGCAGTCCTCTTTATTTATATTGATTGCGCCTTAATGATTATGTGTAGCTTCCGCTAATGCAAACACGCCAGTTAGGATCAATTTTGCCCGCAGCGTTAGTTGGCACCGGTCGTTTGCGAGGTAGACACGATGTCAACCTAGACAGTCCCACATTGAATAGGAAGTTAGCGTTATTTGGCACGTTCAAGCGCAAGACCTATGTTCGCGATGTCTGCAACGGGCTGAACCGCCGGTTAAGCCTGTGCAAAATTCGTCAGCACACCTTTCAGGCTATTGGCGACTTAAAAGCGCCGTACTGTACTCGGTCTTAAACTTGGGAACACTTAAACAATTGTCGCGTTAGTTTGCCAACCACTAGTAATAAGATAGATCTTTGAACATCCGTGGAGTCAGTACGACAAACTTAGCGAGGACTCTATACTGGGCGGGTTTCTTGAATCGTAATATGCGAAGGCGTCTAGCCCGGTCGTGCCTGATGTGCGATTGCCATTCGTATAGAGAGGTATTGCCAACAGTTCAGAAGGCCCATGATAGTTCTTCTGGGCAGTTCAGTTAACCAAAGTCGCCCGTAACGACCGCTTGAGCCCAATCATGTGACTAGGCCAAAGTCCCGGTCCGAATGAGCGGTCAAATGAACTGGGCTCGAGTTCAGACAATAGCAGAACGGCAAAACTGCACGCCGTGAAAAGACGGGGAGTATCCGGAATGGTAGCGTTAGCCAAGCTAAACGGATAGAAAATAGTATTTCGGCCGAAGAAAAAGGTTTGATAAAATCAGGCTTGACCAAAGACGAGGCTACGTAGGGGTGAGTGTTAATCTAATTATATCATTTAAGCAAATGTTAGCTCGTATTTCCAGCTCGCATACTTTGATCTCAAGTCTTCTCTAATGACGAAGGTTTAGAAATTAATTTCTTTCACATCTACTTTTCCGAAACCCGAATATACACAGCAGAAGATGCCTTTCTTAGCTCATTCGTAGTGGTCTAATTAATAATACTGTAGGTCGTCCACCCATAAAAATGTAATGTTTTGGAAAATACACGAAAAATATATATCTATATATAGTGTTTCACGAACTGTTTCAGAGGACGCTGGCTGGCAGCATCGAACAGTATGTAAACGGCCGATAATTTAAGTAGCTATAGGTTTATGCTGTACCAAAAACCGAGTGGAAAAAAGTCGCTGGCACAACTCAATTTTAGAGTGTAATGACTTCCGTCTAAAGTAATCCTAACGGCATATGGACCAGGCGAAAAATGGAAATTAGTGCCGACTCTTCATCGACGACAAAAAGAACAACAGCACAAAAAATATCAGTCTCTAGGGTAAACTGCATTGAGCGGAACGAGGTAACTAGAAAATGATTGATATAGCTACGTTGAACGTATCGGATATCGAGACATTTGTGGTGCCGACGTGGCTAAAACGTTTAAACTGTCTGCGCTATTGTCATCGGTCATCTTCAACTAGAAACATAATGATAATAGCATTACAACGAAGCGTTATCGTGAAGACAAATATTACACACGTCCCTTTTCCGCAAAATGTTCATGCGTTTCTCGTAAGCGTTTGATGGGCCCAACTAAATTGAAGAAATACTTCAGTTTGTAAAGCAGTTCTGAACTACTGTTGAACTCTGCCTCGAATTTTTAGCCGTTGACATCGCTAGTAAATTTCAATATAGCTGCTTCTGCTCTAGCGTCACACTAAGCGAACCCGACATTTGCCAAAACGAAATATAAGGAGCTAAACCGTTTTTGCATATTCTATTAACACCAAGTGTTCTTCTCCGGGTGTTCTTCTAGGGTATAGACCTACACTATCAAGAAGCAGTCACTGCGATTCATCCATTCATTCATCTTCTCCAGTACAGACCTACACTACCAAGAAGCAATCACTGCGATTCATCCATTCATTCATAAAGTCTTTAATTGAATAAGTAGCATAAATGAACATGACGCTAAATAAAGAGTTTCTTTTCAGTGTGTGTCTATACAACTTTCGGGTGAAAAGCACAAATCCATTTTATTAAATAGTTTCTAATACCCTTCCAAGATATTGTATTGTTGCCATTGGTAGCGTGGCGGAACCGTACTAAGGCTTAATATAGCTTAATTGAGATAAAGCACTACGCATCATTCGCTGCGTAAAATCTGCGGCAACGAAGCTGCACTGCTTTTAGTAAAACGCGGCTAGAAAGTGACGGGAATATATTCGTTCGACCTTTTCAGCAATAGTTTCTAGTGATTTCTGCTCATGGAAATCCTCAACACTATTTTTACATCTGCACAAAATTATCGATAAAACAATGGAAATACAGATGTATCTTGCTACATTATGGAAGATAACGCGCAAGAACAGAATAAGGTGCGTCGAGAGACCGTCGTTTTTTCCTCAAATTTATAGTTTTTATACGAGGGTACACGAACAATTAGCGCAGAAGACAGCTGCCAAGAAACGGAAGCAAGCCATAGTCTACTGTTAGAATCAGACTAAGGATTCGTACGTTTTCGTTGTGCCTCGAAATTATAACTACGCTAAAAATCTCCTAGCAGCCCTACTCGTTTCGTAAGTTAATTATAGCAAAAGTACCATCAAACAGAAGTTATCTGGTAACAATTCGCGATTGTTCAAGCCATAGCAGATTTGCTCCGAGGAAGTTTACTTTTGACGACGTTAGAACTGGCAATAGGAAACACATCGTTATGCATAGTACATAATAGGACTGTAAATAAAATGGGCACAATTCGTTGATTCTGATCTAATAAACTGTGTAAGATAGGCGAACCTGTTTGCTGTCACCCTAGATGTGACAAATGAGCGTGTACCTTGTAATTTTGGTAAAACATAAAAAGCAAACGTACGTAGACATTGAAGAGGTATAATGTGATCATGAATTATGCGCTGATAAAACTACGACTTTTCTGCAGAGGTATCATAGATTGTTACGGAAACGAACTCAAAAACGCTGGATTTTGATTCTTCACGGCACGTGGTTGACATGGAAACAAAATATGCATGGTAAGTATAGGAAAAGCGTTAGTCATTATCTAGATATGCTAATCTTATCCGCCATGATGCGCCAATAAGTAATGGCGAAGATCACCGATGTAAATGAATTGTCATGCTGCTTCATGGGTTATGAAACTTTATTGAAAATGAAGAGGACCTGTACATTTTTGCCAATATGAATGACCTGCTTAAATGAAACAAAATTGATCGGGGACAGTTCGGTATTCTGAGTTGCGAATAGATGGTATTTAATTGATGTCTCTGCAGATATCCCACGCTTAGCTTAGAGGAATATCTTTTGGGTATACACATAAGAAAATGGCCTCTGTCTGATGTCAGCAAAAATGGGATGAGTCCCAAGAACAGAATTCAGCGCACCTGCACTAATCAGCATTATCCATCTCGACGGTTGTTACTGAATAGTCTGATGGTACTAGGAACCTATCCACTACCTTTAAGTCAGGTCTTTTATGGCCTATTTTAGTGTAATACTTTACACGACTGTGACTCCAGGTATATCTGGCAGGCACTCGTAAATTTAATAAAATTAAAGTGGCACTCTCGAAGTGGTCTAATTAGTGTTAAAGTGTAATCACCTCTTCGAAGGAAACTAGTTTTCTATGTAGCGCATCATATCTTCACCAACAACCGTATTATCCAAATCACGAAGATAACCCATCGGGCGTACAATGCGATTAGCTACTTTTGAAACCATTATTTCTGCGTGAGTCGTTCCCGAAAATGCCACCGTGATCCCGATCTCCTGAATCAAGCGCCGGTTTTTCAATGAGATCCGAGCCTGTCTGGATCCGTGAGTAACCTACACATTAACCTATATTAAGTGACATCAGCCACTGCCCCTCCACAGGTGCCTGTAAACACTGGATAACGTTAGTGTGCGACTGAACCTTGTTTCTGCAGAGTGCAGGGATTGTTCCGTTTCTGTCTATGATAATAAACTCGATTATCCTCATTAGCTGACAGTGATACAATGCTCATGGGGGGGCGAACGATCAGCATTCCCTGGTGAAAAGAACACTAGATAAAAAAAAATGGTTAAACAATCTTTGTGCATATTTTATAACTAAAACGAAGCATTTGGCAACATGTCACATTTCAATGTGTAGTGAGAGCCATGGTACGCTATTCAAAACATAGCCTTTGGCAGAGTCTGGGTACACACCTTATGCACATGACCCAGAAATGGATCGGTAGTCGTACATAGGAGATAGTTGACTTCAAGCAAATGAACTGCTGCCAACTGTTTTTATCCGAGACCTTCATGTTTAGACAATGGATTTTCAATAATAAATCAATCGTCTTGTGTATTCGGACGTTGGAGGTATCGACGCTGGCTGTACGCGTGGCAGGGTTAGAAAAAACAACATTATTCAACAAACAGACAGCAGACATTCACATCGAATTGGTTGCAAGCATAAAAGATGACACTGTAAGTAGGAAAAGCGGTAATTCGTTCTCGGTTGTTTCTGTCCATGTAAAGCACATTGGAAGTCATACAGCTTACCTCTTCGTTCTTGTTATAGTTGTACTTGGTACTAGTGTTTGGCATTCTTAACACAGCTTTAAAGTAATAACGATGCGTACCTGTTTAAAGCATTACGCCATCGGGTATCGATCGATATGACCGTTAATGAGCTACACATATGATTGACATATTTATACGTTTGCTGTAAGGGTATTACGGCCTAGATATGTTATATATGGTCGTCTACTGAGAGAAAAAGAACTACACTAGCCTTTTTCTTGTCATTCATGGTTATGCCTGAAGGCCTTGTCGATATTCCATACGTAAGTAGCGTGAATGGCCATATACGAACCTGCAAGCTCACTTTAAAGGCCGTTAGCGTCACACGTTGCTGTTTCATCCGCTGAAGAGTCGTGATTCTTCATGAGCTCTCGACGAACCGACCTGTCTGTTAGATGACACAGTACTTTGCGCTGACAAAGGTAATGCCCTGCCGTACCAGTAACCCATCTGCGAATCTGGCTGATATTGATTCTAAATATCCAATGTTAATTATTTATTTTTTATTTTATTTATTATTATTTTTATTATTTTTATATATTTATTATTATTATTAATTATTTAGTGCTCGTTAGATACCGAATTTACGAAGTCGAATGGTTTTGTGAAGCGGATGGTTTTGGGAAATTAAACCCACGGGTGTATTTAAAAATGTGTTATTTTTTATGCTTGCTATATTTATGACACACCGTATTGATTACCGATGTATGCTACTATCGTAGAATCTGCCGAACTCAACATGAAACAGACCACTCATTATTTATTCCTTGGGGTATTCGCACAATGTGGAATATTTGACTTTCATACTTTTTGAAGCTCGACGAAGTTCGAAATAAGACGGAGTCTTATGTTGATTCCTGTTTGAATACTTATTGAGTAAATGGACGACGTGTGAGACGGATCAGCATACCGTCTCAGTTCCGGCTTACGGCATCGTGAAACGTACTGATAGTGTTATTACTTGGTTATACGTGAATTACTTTAGCAGATTAGTTGCCACAGCCGTACTCCCTATTACTAGAAGCTGGACTTCGATACAAGCTAGCTACAAACGAGTTTGAGTGAGTTAAAAAAACAACGCAAGGCTATTGATTTCTATTCACATATAACGATTTGTTGTTGCTAGTTGATGATATTGGTTTTTGACACGTGACAGATATGGTAGATGAAGAGCATAATTTGGAATCTTCTCGATAGCTCTAATACCAAATCGGTTGCATAGTTGCTTGTAGAAGTCGTAACTTTTCGTAGTAAGTTACCAGTTTGACCCCCGCTTACCTGATGAGTACCGTCATGATGTTTAGCATACCTTTAGTAAGAAACGTGTCATTAATATAGCCAAAAAATTACCCATAATTTTCGTTATGTCATGGAAAGTGGCACCGAAAAAAGCCCGAGGTTTCAACAGGTGTACCCCAAACGATGACATTACTATAGATCATTTTCAACGTTTTCGCTTATTTGGTAACCATGTTCATAGGGCTACGGATCGACTGATGTATATGTAAAGAGCAAATCTCCCTCTAGGTTTTATCAAATTTTCGGATATTTATGGCAGGGTCGTCTGTCAACGCATGGCCTTATTATTTTACTACGAGTAATTTTTCGATTCAGTGAAACCTTCTAACTACTATCTGACTATCTGACAAGCCTGCTCTGCTTGCTTCTTGCTGGCAGCTAGGTAATGACAAAAAAAACCGCGGCGTGTGCCTAAACCTTGATCCTAAAATCCCAAGTCATAAAATTGCATGTTGAAGACCCGCGAAGTAGTAGTTCAGCCCCGGACTCTCCCCAGTCTACATTCATATCCCTTAAGGGACTGATTTTGTACTCCGACGGCCAGCTGGGTTTTACTTCATAAATTATACGGATGTGCCTAATCGAACGAACGAACTTGAAATGTAACGTCATGCCAACTACCTATCGATAAATACTTCTCAATCTGCATTCACATATTTATTTAGTAAAGCAAATTCGCTAATAATAGTAATGATTGACTAGTTACTGCGGGTTCAATCATCAGAAGAGTTATTTGTATGGTGTCACATCTTGTCTTTCGCCATTGCTTCGGCACAGGACTGCAAATGGTGGATATGTGACCGCCTGGAAATTTGAAAATCGGAATCCAAATAGCCCTTTTCTGTCACACGTCATTACTTTTATGGTTCAAGAAACGGTATTTTTGCTAATAGATTACTACTAGAATAATAACAATAAACCATTATTTTCTTAAAAATAGCCTATTTTAAAAAATATTGGTTTTGACTAACTCTGCATAGAGAGTCAGGTGTGGAAGCTTCAATGTTTCAATATTGACGACGAAGTGTTAAAACACTGAAGATACTACAGCGCCGTTAAGCGTAGTAAGCAAATCGTTCGGACAAATCATTAGTCTTCTATGTAGACTAACATCCACTGATAATGCACACGTTTCCGATCATTCAGAGAATATCTCTTGGATATTCCTATTTAACAGCTACGTCCGTGGCACTTCGGGGATAACGAGCGAAACCCGGGCATAGGGAAAGGTGTAACCTGACAGGAACAAGGTCTTTATGGTTTGGTAACCTGTCGAAAAATCTTTTCAATGGCATGGATAAAACTTCCCAGAGAGAAAATCTTTGATACAAGCATGTGCGCCGGATTTTAGGTTAGTGGACTAGAATGATCACTTTCTGGTGTAAGCATTTTTTACATCCTGTGCCAGGGTTCTGGAAGCGATATTCTGATACGCTTGTTCACCAGCTGCCTACTTTTGAATATGGGAAGCCCCGTAATCGGACCGACTTAGATCGGGACGCTACGCACGTTGACCTAATCAATTCAGACACTAATTGTGATCATTCATCGTTATCAGACATTTATATGTAACAAAAGTGCTGATGAGATCTGGCGTTGTCACCAAATAACCAGCTATTAGATGTCTTGCTTTGCGGCCTTCGGGGAAGAAAAGCTTAACCACTGAGGTTTACTTCCGAAAATGTTCCTCTGGAGTACACAACCGGTTTTCGCCTTCTACCAATGCATTTATCAGCCTAACTTCGTCTGACCGCAACGCGTAGTTCTGGTTGGAAAAAATTCGCTCGTAACATCCTAATATAAGCCCGGCTAACGCTGGTCACGTCTGTACCGAATGACTACATTCAAAACGGCAACACTTGGGCCAGTAAAATTCAAAGAAAAAGCGAAGCAATAAAAAAAAATCGAACTACCCTTCGTCAGGAAATATCAGCGCAATAGTACGTTGAATTGTTTTGTTACGGGGTTGAGAATATGCACATTTGGTTCACTACAGTACAACCTGCTAGGCCTTCGTTTCCGACTGCAAAGAGAATAGGCCAATCTAGATAGTACCACAAGAATACGGACGTAGATCACAAAAACCCTAAATCCGATAAAAATGGCGTTGATAAACGGAGATACTTCCCTATTTTACCTAGTTTTCCTAGTTTACTATCACAAAGTAAATATAGAAGCAAGTCTTAGACGAACGGTCGATGTTTTATTGTGATCAACACAATCTAGATCGTATTGGGTATTGTTCAAGTACAATCCCTCGGTATCCTAATTTAATAACCCCGATAGCCGCCGAAGCAGCTCGGTACGGTCAGAGGTACGGAACATTTTCTAGTACAAAATAATATGACATAATAACGGTACAATGTAGTCAAACAACAATATAAAGTACATAGCCTATATGCTTTTACTACTCGCCTACATACTAAGATTGCTTTTAATTGTACTATTAATCATAATTAAGTCAAAATTTATCTTGCCCGGTGCTAGCCCGTTAGGTCTCGTATTAATTCAACTGTCATCGTTAAGACCTAGAATCTCGAAGTTTCTGGCAGTTCAGACCCCCCGCGTTGAGACGTACACAGCGACTTAGTTGCTTAATGCTTATCGCTAAAACGATCATGAATAAAGCACCAGTGTTTTTATTAAGTTATTGGAGCTCACTGAAGAAGTCTCGCAAACGAAAACCGACTTTTTCTGAACCTTTTTTCGATACAACACACAGAAAAAGGTAGCTTCTAACCTACCGCAACAGCCTACCGCAGCGATTTCAAAATAATCAATTAGAAGTACGAAAAAAAGCAATGTCTAAATGGGTGAGCAATACGTAACCTTCGTATCCGAACAGAAGCTCATTGACGTGCATATAGCCTTTGCGGGGAAGAACGCCCTGAGATACGAAACGAACATTTTGTAGATGTCACCGAGTATGTTCGCGCATAGTTCTGCATGCGACTCAAACGTATTATTGCAGAGTTCCTTTACGGCATTTTGAACACGTTCCTCAGGCTTAAGGAACCGTACTATGGATGCCTGAAAATCAACAGTACAGTAGGGCTGTGTACCTATAAACCTGCTAACTAACCCTTGCGCAGTGCAATTTGCTACAGCTTGAAAAATCCTGTTAATTAATAGATTACAATTAATAGATACGATTCTTGGGTATTTGTAATTGTTGGATAGCAGTTGCCAATGCATGAGGGACATAGGTTCGTATCGAAATCACTTTTATAAAAATTGTATAAATCGTTGTTGTCGTTCGCAGAGTCCCCTAGTGTCTCTCGATCGACGGCCTGACAAGTCAGACCGTTCCCCGGAATCGTTTTACGCAGTACGTCGCTGGTGCAAGCCAATCAGTAGCGAACGTTCGCGTCGCCGCCGACATGCTCGTCTTCATCTTCTAACTTTTGATTGCATGTTAAAATTTCCATCTCGGAACTGTTCGAATATGCTCCATCTACAAAAAATTTAAGACGGTGCACGAGGGCGCTTTGTTAAGGATTTGCGCGTGCTGGTCTAGTAAACATTAACCAAGAGATCTGCGCTCGAATCTAGGGATAAGCATTTTTCTGCAGGAAACCAGCAGTCTGAAAGAAATGTCTCTCAAAGCAGTATTGGACATAAAATTCTGGTTGCTTTGGAAATATGCAGAAGATCTCGTATCATGAGTTCGGTGCTTACACATCATCTCGTTGTGCGATTTTTACGCCAAACAGAGCCGAACGAATCGTAGAGGAAGGGTAGCTTAAACGTGCATATCGGGGCCAAGCGAGCCTTGTTTGAAGCATTGGCTCTAAGAGGTTATATTGGCTGATTACCTGATTTCGTAGGTCGTGCAGGGCAAAGAATGGACTCCCCTGATATTGCAGTGGAGACGCATTTACCTACTAAATCTACTTAGCGCTGAGCGGTGGAACTGGCCATCGAAAAAAGGCTGGAAGTTCCCTACAATCCTACAAATTCCTAGCTATGACCGGAGTAAGCGAAGAACTTCAGCGAAGAGGTAAAGCCATTCGGCTGGAGCAATTGCTCTTAAATTATAGTTGGAATTTCCCGATAAACACTTGATTTCCTTGGACACATTCGATTCCACTACTCATTCCTCTCCTATAGAAGTTAATAATAATTAAATCCGTTGAGCTTACGGGCATGTTACGTGGTCAAATTTCAAAACCGAGGAGAAATTTCGTAAATTTCTTACTGGAGGCAGCGCTGAAGACAATGAGCAACGCTGCGAGATCGAGAATTTTTCCATTAGCGAAAAAAATATTCGTTAAATAATTTTTGTCGGCTTTCAAGAAACTGTGAACAGAACCTTTTCCCCTCCACGGATCCGTGCCGAGAGCAGCACGTAAACAGGCTAGAATTAAAGAGGTGCGCAAGGAGGCATGGGATCTTCAATTTGGTGTGAGAAGACATAGCACACTTGATCGAATAATTCGCCAAATTCAACGAATAACCGCAAAAGAACAACAAGGGTACAGTTAGCAGCTTGGAAGACTGTTACGCTTCGGACGTTATTATTATATGAGTTATTTGTTAACAATCGATTGCAACGACCGCTGCAGAAAACGTTTGCACTGGGATCATCATTACATCAAACCCTCGAAGAAAACAACGCTGACTGGCTACGAAGGGATAGCTAGCAGATTGCGTTATTCTCTAACGACACGCAGTAAAAGTGCTCGACAAATAAGCACTGCACCAAAACAGTGCACCAACCCGCCGCCACCTCTGATCCATACGGCAGTATTCCACCAAGTAACCATGAGCAGATTTTAAAGACCGCGTACGGCAACGGTCTTCAGTGATTTCCACGAATATTATTAGCAATTACGAAAAAAACTCACCCAGCGGAACAGTTAGTACGTACCAAGGCGAGCTCGGTTTTTTTCGGCATAAGTACGTCGCAGCGAAGTTTCAAGGATAAGTTTAATTAATTTGAAAGAGCAGAGTTTGAACTATCTAATTGTTTTATGTCGATTAAAACCCTTGTTACTTGGGCAACTGGGAGTTGTTTTTTAGATAAGCCTATGTAGTTTAACGTAAGCTTCCTGTTGGTCTTGAAGCACCGAAGCAAAGCTCGTGACTCAGCCTAGCTGTAGTATTTTTCGTAATCATTTCGAAACATATTTCCTATGTATTCTAGTATACCCATATATCATAATGTGTTGTTTAGAAGTAAACCAATACATATGACCCCCATTCGGATGCTTCATTTTGGAGAGGGCGAGGCTAATAAGCAAAAATTTGCTTAAAGCTATCGCTACCCGTGCCACAATTGCCGAAATAAGCTCACTACAAATTATTTTTGAAAAAATTTTGATTGAAGACATCTATGTCACTGGTTCACATAACCAGAAGTGGCCTTATTTGGCCCACTAACGAATGTGAAGGAGTGCTTTTTCTACAAAGGGCTGTGATACTAGCTTAAGGAGACGATGCTGTTGATATGATAAGGCCACATGAAGTTATATGAGGCCGGACACCTAAAGTGGCAAGTTTGTGAATTAAGAAGATCTTCAGACCCAACTCTCTAGAGCCATAACCATCGACTCTAGCCATGATCACGACCTTCTACAGGGTGGTGCACATGTCGAAAATACGTTACTGTGAAGTCAATGATGCAGATAAATCTTTTCATTCGAAATTGTTGTTAACGTAATTCCGCGAACGTGAAAATACGAACGCTTACACGGACCCCTACTGGATTGTTTTCTCTGTAGACTTCACAGCGGATTCATATATACTTTCTTCTGCGTTCAGACAATGATAAGAAAATGAATTATTGAAATTTACTAAATTAAAATAGGCAGGTGGAAACAAGTCGATGCAGCAGTGTTAGCATTACGGGCTGGAAAACATTCTTTTCTACACTTCGTGAAAAAAAACCCAGCATCCACAAGCGAAGTGCGAAAAGTCGAATATCACCAAAACGGTGGGTTTACGTTTCAGAAAGCCTGAGATAAATACCTGGGTTATGTCCACTACCCATTGTACGAATGATTCGCATTGCGCGCAGTCCATCGTTTCTGCATTGTCGGCTGCTTGAAGGTCGCAGTATCCGGACCTGCGGCACATTGCTTCGCCACTGCTATAACTTCCATCGCTTGAGTTTCGTAGCTTCCTTAATTTGCGACTCAAGACATACCGTTTTGCTAACTCCTGGCACTTTGTGGCGTTGCCTTGCGCGACTTCACATACGCTGTTCAATAGAGACGTAGCGGAAGCAATCGGCCTGTTGTACTACACCGATTTCGACGACGTGGTGAACCAGTGATTAAAGGCAGTGTATGAAACCGTTTACTCTTCGTAATCCAACCATAGCAAAACCCCTATAGCTGTACTCAATATACCTTTTACGGTTTCACCTTAAGAAAGCGTTATGCAAGATACTCTTTACAAAACAAAAAGTTGGGCCATTCTTACTATAGTTGTTGACTATGCAGTAAAACCTTCTTAAGATACGTATATTATATCGTTGCACAAATAGATATTCCGTATTAGCTATGTAACGGAACGTAATTGGAACAGTATGAGCGGACCTACGTCGTGTAAATAGGTAAGAAAGGGTCCAATCTTTCCGCACAGGCCACAGTCGCTCTGCAGAGTCGAGATTGTAGGCACCATATATTTTTTAAGACATTTTAGATCTAACGGTGGGTTACGCGGCGATCTGATTTTCCGTGCCTGACCCACTGACAGTGTCGCCTCTGCTGTGAACAGAATAAAAAAATATCTCGTTACGAGAGACACACGAAAATAGTTTGTTTTCCTTGTTGGTATCGCCTATTTTCTCAAACATAACAATCCCCAAAAATCCGGCACAGTGTTCTGAAATGATCTAATCAGCACAAAACGTATTTTCATGTTTAGCCTATAGTATCCTTTCGGTTACCTTTTTTCCTTATCATGCCTCGACCGCTTCACTCGCTTGACAAAAAAATACGTTTAAACACAGAATGTCTGAAGCGATTTTTCCGAGTTCCGTGAGGCATAGAGTGAGTATCTATTAATGCGGCTATTCTTGAACTGACTTCTTCAGTAACAACGAACGTTGCTTTTGCTCGGCTCCCTCGAAACCCTAGTTCTTGCGAATAGGGCAGCTGTATACTGACGAACATAAGAAAGGGCCTTGTCTTTCGTGGAAGTTCCTTGGAAATAGCTTCGTAACGAAGAAGTAATGATCTGCCAAATGTTACCTATTGAATGAGCATCTAGCAAGACCTGTTTCTTACTCACTGAAGATATGTATGCCTTGCCGTTAGACAAATAACAATTTTCAAGAGAATAGTTGTCCTCCGTTGACAGTCGCTTTGTGCGCCAAACACGATTAATGCCTTCATAACTAGACCTCGCTATCATCAACAACGAAACTTCACGAGACCTAGTACCATCACCGTTGTAAAAAAACTTCATAACCGTCTAACATACGGGGCGACTCACCTATAAGTATAATGCATAATAATAGGGCAGAGGTAATAAGCTGCATCATTTTTATGAAATGGTTATACAACAACGTCTTCGACACTGCTAGGATTTCGTAACGCTGGCGATTCACACTTCATGGATGAATTGAGCTAAGCCTTGATCGCACAGCGTCGAAACCATAAAATGCCAGCTCATATCTACTACAAGTTTTATTCAATCAGTCAATCGGTGTGACAACTTTTTTTTGAAAGCACGCAACATATTATAGTTTATTATATCCAACTTATCTTATTTTGTATAGGTTTTCCTCGCCTAAGGCTTTGTCCAATTACGTTGACGTAAAAATGCTAAAAAAGCAAACTCGACGCAAGAGCTTGTGTACCTGCTATTCCGATCTATCAGTGCGAAACAACGAATAACTTTGCGACTTCGCCAAATTGCGCGCTCTGCGAACCGACGATTCAGTGAAGTGTTTTTTTTTTTTGTATTGAAGGGTTAACCTATCAGGTTGAGACGAAGCATAAGCAGAAATCTGCACGCACAGAGGAAGAAGATCCAACCATCAGTTACTGTGTGACGCTTCCACATTGGGCAGCCTAGGCGAAGGCATCCAATGCACTCCGTCTTGAATGTTACCCAAGACGCGAATGATCTGCGACAGCCACTGGTGTATGAAGAAAAATGTTAAAGAAGATACATGCTGTATCTGAAAATTCAATTTATCTTAACTTTTAATAGCTTTACTTAACTTTTATAAAGATGCGTTCGTACTGAAAATGCCTGTGGTGTGTCTGCACATAATGCACACATGAGCTAATGCTGTCAGCAACAGAGTAGAGCTTAGATCATCTATTTCCTTTGAATATCTATTGCACTATGTATGTTTGTTTCTCTTCATCTAAGAATGTTTGTTGTAGGCACAATTGGGATGACTGCCATCACAAAAACTGATGTTAGTTACGTCAGTAAGACGGTTATCGTCTTATGTACGTTTCCGTACGTCTAGGCGCAGTTACCATTAGGCACGAAATGCTATGCCGATGAAATCGTCGTTCGGCCCTACGTGCATTAAGAGTTGCTATTGAGCTGCTCGGTAAGTTTAAATAATTTAAAACAATTAATGTAATAATAAACAAGAGTATTCATGTTGGAACAGCTCTATCTATTAATCTAAGTAATCATCGAGAAAGTAAATTTGAAGCATGGAAATAAGTGCATAACGTCTTGAAATACGCGGAAGTGGACGTGTAACACTGAATTCAGAGTTAATTGATAAACCTGAAGTGACAGACAGTCGTTGATTGGAGATGGACGTCCACATAGTTTATCATTATCATACTTCGTTCGATCAAAGCTCTGGATAGGTCAGCTAACGGTTTCAACTTTGTTGTCATAGAAGCTTTGTAAAGCTGCACTTCTGGTCCTTATTAGACGTGGCTGTAAATCACGGTGCGATTTTTAAGCTAGTTCGCGCAAAAGTCCCTAGAGCATATTAAACCGTCTCGGCAGCATACTACAGATCAATGTGCAAACTATACAAGATGGCATATCAGAATATTCGAGCAAATTACAGACGTTCGTCATAGGGTTAACGTCAGACATACTTGATCAAGAACCTGCCGAGCGTGCATAAGGATTGTCACAAGTTACTTGTTGTGCATCTTATTTCGTACCCGATAGCATCTCCAACAAACCTTTAAACGCTGACTTGGGCCTATAGCCGTAACGATAAGGTTCCGTTTAGGTTTGCTTGCTGTGGCAGAACCGTTTCGGTTTGATAAAAGCGCGATTCAATTGTTGATTTCTTTATTTAGGATTCACGCTAATACCCGGCGAACCCCGTGCTTTGCGTCAGAGGGCGCTGAAGGCGCTTTGGTAGAAAAAAACGACTGATAATCAAAGAAAACAATTTCAAAATAGCGTTGGCCACTTTGGAGCGGGATATGGCAGAGAGTTGTCGTCTATCGACGCTCTTGTTTCAATGTAACGGCACGCTTATGAATCATAAATAATGGACCATAGTTAGATTTGAACATAAACGTTAATCCTTTATAATGATGACTCTATATCTACGATGTTCTACTACCCAACAAAAACGTGTACCCCAAAAAAAAACAGGAAAAAATCACATTTTCGCCAGTTCAGCCAGAAAAGATAGTGGGACACGCGTATTTGCCTATGCATATACGTACGTAGCTATGTGAGTATGAAAGCGAATATGCGTACATACTTCGGTATATTTTCGACCGTATTGGAATCCCTAAGCCCTGTCGGTGAGAGGACTGTCAGTTGTCCTAGAAATCTCATTATGAGCACCTGAAGTTTCACGCTCTGAAAAGAATAGCTCCTTCAAAGGCTTTTGTCATTACCAGCATCGAAGAGTATTGTTGCATCCTTCCTATTGTAGGGCAAGGATTCGTATCGCAAACTGAAATTGATCATGCATTTATTATTTCACTAAACAAAAAACAAAAACCCGTAGAACACGTATATTTGAGTTTAAGGAAGCGGCATGTAGACGGACAGTATAAAATCTATATAACGAATCTACCCTGACTCGCTACTAATCAATTTTGTTCGTCAACCTGTTTGTTTTTGATGTTTTGTGTTAGTTTTGACGTCTTTATGTACTAATTCCGTAAACTAACCTGTCAGAGGCGATTCAAAATGTCGAAGGGGTCACTTTCTGGAGATAGTTTTTACAGGACACGTTTGCTTTTTTACGCGAGAAACTGCTGGAGAAAGTAAACGACCTGGTACGAATCTTTTGTTCGTTCTCTGATGCAGGTACGCCCCAATAATGGTAAACACTGTAACTGTATTTGGACTATTTTAGCTCCCCTGTATGTTTCATTGCCAAGTCATTTGAAGACGTATTCCAGCTAACATTCATCGAAAGCAAGCAGCTCCTTGTTAACTACATAAATATTCATCGAGGCAATGGGAGAATACTTGAAAAAAGCACAATTAGTAACTATTTTTTATATGCAATACGTGTCAACTTTATTCAAGCATTTAATAGCATTTTTATTATCATCGTCGTCGTATACAATATCAATATTAGTATTAATAATATATGGTAATGGTATTGTCATTACCAGTGGATCGAGAATTACCGAATACACAAGTCGACGAAGCACCAGAAAGGGCGAAGTCCTTACAAGGATTAGTTCCTTTCTGGCCATTCTTCTATCGCTGGATTGCTCAGTAGTATAAGAGAAGCTTGCGTCATAGCTATATATGACATAACAACATACCTGTACTGCATAGCTCCCCAATGTGACACAGCAGGAAGCTGCCTCAGGGGTGCGTGTCTTCTCCTAAAACTCCGATATTCAATCGAATCTCATCTTCTTAACTCTTTTAGCGTTATCGTCTTTTTGTATTAGTTCATCAATGACTTGTCAATATCATCAGTGCATGAATATCATTGTCGCCACCGTCTCGTTAATGAACGCCTCCATGAAGCTTGCGCAATTAACTAACAACTCTTCTAATTAAATTGATTACCATTAGGGGAAGAAAATCCTACTTCTGAATTTATCCCATCCTATTGAAACGACCTGCGACGTTCTGGAGCCGTATTAGCGAAAACTAGTCGCCGACAAACGCGTCCAGAATAATAAAGTTTGTTAAAAATTTTTGTCAAGTTATCAGATTTCTTACTACTATTTTTACTAGTATTTCTTTTGTTTGTGTACCCGTTTCGTCTGCTTATCAAGTGATTAAAGTGTCTTCGGGCCCGAGTCTTCGACATGGGCCAATTCTTCCTACAGAGAATCGAATCGTGACGATACTGAGCATCTATGAGCGATCATGCGACGTATATAAATAATACAATCCAAAGTCATGTCATAGAGTGTATGGTACGTGTTTAACATCTCAGTGTTAGTGGTCATGAACGGCGACACCGTTGCTACAGTTGGCAACGCGCTTGCGATAAAGAAAAACTCGGAAATCTTCTTAATCAATCAAAGAAGATCCGGGTTTGGCATGACCAAGAATGTTCACCGTAAAAATGTATTCTTAATGTTTTTTTTTTTATAGCATGGTGCTTTTTTTTTTTTTTTTAGTTTTTGCATTTCGACATTTTTCGCTCTACAAAGAAACGAAGATTATCGTATTCAAATACACACAAATCGCCTGTTTCCATGCATTTTCAGCTCTGTATCAATCGCTTTGTAAGATGCCAAAGAACGGGAAACCTTTTTCCGCGATGGCCAGTCCTTCGCACGGCCAACATATGCGCCTAGTTATCTTTCATCCTGAATTTTCTAACAAGAGACATAACGAGCTAATTTATATAGCTCTCTAGCCAGCGTGAAGCAACTAGCTCACAGCTAGGAGAAAAAAAAAAATTAAACCTATCTCCCGAAGAAGCGCCGACATCATCTTTCCCTAGTCTTAACGTTACCGTGTTCTTCCTCTTTTTGTTCCTAACGGCACGCGTCTGTATGTTATCGCTAGCATAGACGCTGGTTGTCTCAGCATCCCCCAAGCTCATACTTTTCGTCTCAATGTAGGCCTTACTACATACTGTGTAGCTAATAATAACAATAGTCACAATAACTGACGCATCCTCTTCGATCACCCACATTGACCGTTCTATCTGCAGGACGTATTTTCTCTCCATCTCAAATACAGTATATTGTTCCTTATTAACAATAATAATTTTCATTATAATGATGACAACATCTTTTTTACTTAAATGCGACCTAATTACCGCTAGTCTCGTTATCTTCACGTCGTAACGAATATTTTCATCTTTATCACCAGGTTAATATTGTTATTACTGGTAGGTAGGTAGGTAGGTAGGTAGGTAGGTAGGTAGGTAGGTAGGTAGGTAGGCAGGTAGGTAACATTAGTGCCGGTAGTACGGAGACGACGATTGCGCATCATTTAAAAAAAAAAAAAAAAAACATTTTTTTTACGTAGGCTTGCAGATTCGAAGGTTCAGTTTACTTTGTGATGTAATGATACAATGCCAGCATTGGCACTATTGCAGCAATATATCGAGGGTTCATCCTCTCTTCTTCTTACCGCCATCATAGCTGATCACTACTGAATTGTTTCAAATCGATATTTTTGTTAATAGCGGTTACGTCCCGTTACTCGAGACGTAACCGCTGTTAATAAGAAGTTTTGGTAAGCCGTACTTTCCCCTATTATTATTATTTGCCTTTTTATATGTTTCCCATATAATCATATAATATTGTTATATGCGTGTGTATGTATATACTGGAAATTGTTGTGTTTCGTTTGCCGTTGTGTTATTCATAGAAAATTGGCAAGTGACAGAGGCAGAGCGTAGGCTGAAGGACTCCGTCCTTCACGTTGGCCGTTTCGCTACCCAGCCATTCAATCGTGACATATATTTGGTCTCGCTTCTACACGCGCGGACTTGAGAGACTACGGATGTTTGGCTACACGACTGGGTGAGCCTAATATAGAGACAGACCACCACTTCTACTGAGTCAATAGAGAAATAACGGAAAAAAACGACGACAAATTACGTATCGGAAACGATGTGATTAAGCGCAAACAACCACATTCGGTTATGGCGGATCCGCCGTATAAATAATTACCCTTTACGGAATCTATTTGACGCTTCGTGTTGAAGTCACTTCACTCGAATTTGCTATTGTTCTGTAGATTATTGTACAGGATTTTGCTATCAAGTATTTCAAAGGCAGGTGTCATAATTAACCCGTTACTATGAATGAATTCTAATCCTATTCGGTATTAGGCTGTAACGCCTCTGCTTCGGTATAGTCGAGAGAAGACAGGCGTCGTTACCGGTCATACTTATGTTTTCAAATGTAGACATCGTTGTTAGACTTACTGCCGTTACCCTTTAGCTTTCAGTAGAACTTGTCATCCATAGATGGCAAAGGCAATTAAGTTTACTACGCTGACCACGCGAGCCGAGACGATTGCTTTGACAGTAAGGAGCCGGGTTGTCTAGCTTTGATTGTTGATTGCTAGCTTTTGTGTCTAGCCCCTAAAACAAGACTAATGGTTACAGTCGTCAGGTAAAATAGAGGTTCTTCGATGTCTCTTATGTAGACACAAGTATATTGAATCTTCAGCAGATTTCTAATGATTCTGTTAGCCTGAAATTATATTACTAGTTTTTTGTTCTCGCGCTACACAAAGTTCTAGTTAGTCGGTAATAAATAGTTTTTACACCTTCCATGGTCTTCTAATATTGAAAAACGGTCACCGCTTCCCAACAACAATAAACAGGACGTACCGGCTCAGACAATATGTATAGGACATTGCCGTGGGAATTTATAGAAGCACTGGATAGGAACAAGGCGAAACTACAGCCAACTATTGCTTGCCGTACGACTAACAGTTTTTCAAGCTATGAATTTTTTTTTTTATATATATATATTTTATGCGTATAGTAAACCTGTCAGCCAGCCAACTACTACAGCAGTTCTCTGCAGCTATGGCACAACGCTTAAAGAAATCCAGATTGATCTTCAAGTGAACATTGACAGCAATAGTAATGACTAATAACCTTAACAATTTCTCAGTTTCCGCTTTCGGTTTTTTCCTGTGGTGGACGTTTGGCCAAACAGGTCCGTTCGGTACGGTCGTATTAAATCGTTAGACGTTCACCATGCATGTTGGATTAAGGCCATAATGAAAATGGAGAATATTTCACTTGCCACTTGTCGCTTGTATTTGAAATATTCGCGTTAGTTTGTGGGGGAACGTTCTGACAACCCATTGTTGTTGCTATAAAAACTTCACCCTGTAAAAACTGTCCAGTTTATCGCCACCTTTCCGTGTATCGTTGACATATATTCTTGTATTCTTTCTTTCTTTCGTTTCCTTTAGCGTCTCTGGCCAACAAGCAAAATATTGCTTGTCTGTATTTTAAGTAAATGATGGAGGAGTCACGGTGTTAGTATCCAGTCAGCTGCTATGTCATCATTAATCACTCTGGGAACAGTCTGGTACGAAGACTATGGCTTAGGATAATCTTGGACATTGTTTCCCTGCTATTCGCTGCTAAATTTCGGTAAAAATCCTTTCTGCCGTCGAGTCGCGTGGTCTGGCATCGACGGTACGACGTTGCATCCCAAGTGTGACGACTACGCGATGTCCATAGTGGCGCCATCTTGAAAAGCTATGTTTATTTTTTTTAGGACCATGCTTTTGGGGACGCTTTCGGTATCGGATGAACAATAAAGCAAGATTGTTAGAACGAAGTTCATTTGAGCGCAACTGGTGTATGTAAAGATTTCATTTGTGTTGTTAGCTTGGTATCATTGAATTTGTGCTTTTGTGTTTCGGGAACTCAAAATTGGACGCGTCCGGCCTTAGATGACGCGGGTCGTCTCGAGACGGTGGACCGCTTTGTCCGCTCCGTCTAAATCTTCGACCTAAAAGTGGCAGAATATGTTTACTTCATGCATATCTGTATGTATGGGTATGTGTGATGTTGTGTATTTGTGTGTTTTGAGGATGACTATGTATGAATACTGATAATACAGGTGAGGAGGATTTGATTGAACTCAATTACTTATCAATCAAGTAATGCTCCGTGATCCAGCTCATTGTCGAAACAATCACGGTTGAGCGCTATTCGAAGTTGTATTCAAAGGTCTGATTTTGTTTAAGATCTGATTGCTTCTGGTGCGTTAGTCATCAGTTTAAAATTGACGACGATATACCTAGTCAGCCTGCGTATCAAATGGTCGTTGATGCCGATTTACTGTACTTCTTATATTTCTATATTTTTTCAGATTGTGATATTTTTGTTGTTTTACGTTTCAGTCTAGCAATGTTAGCAGAAAATGCGCCACCGATTATCGTATGTGGTCAATATTATTATATGTTATACACTAAATCCCTATGAGATAAAACAAGCACACCCACTCGTTAGCTCTATAATATTATGGGGTCCGCATGGTCGGACCGTAATAAACGTTCCGCTCGAACAATGCTTCCATTCGTTCTGGTCCTGTACCGTATTAGTAACGTCAAGAACGAGAGAATCAATCAAGATAAGTTTTTCTGTACTTATCATCACTTGTGCTTATCCGACCGTCTATACGTTTGCGTGCAATCTGCGTTTATTATGATTTTTTATAGATACCTTGTAGATTTTTTTAGTTAATTAGGCGTTTGCCAATATTTGCTTAGAGCGTAAATTTGCAGCGGGGTAAAATGGTAATTTTAACTAACGTATTGCCTCATGTTAGGGGTAGACATTCATATATATATATATATATATATTTTCACAATCTTATTTACTTATTTTATCATTTTACTACGCTAATCATATAGAAATCGTTTATCTAGGATCGAAATTGCTTAAACGAGTCATTGCGATAACCCTTAGTAGTCACGTTCGTTTTAGTGATGATCACTTATCACGTTAATGTCGTTCTTCATTATTTCTATTCTTATCGCCGTTCTTATAGCTTGTAATTGTACAATCTATATCACTAGCATTGGTACAGTCTTACTATTGCTATATATTACTATTATCTGTAATGATCATAGTCAAGTTAAGTGTATTTTGCCCGCCCCAGTGTGCAGTTCTGGGCGTCACGTTTTTCCTCATGTAAACAAACAGTGTAATTGTGTGTATCTATTTATCTGTATACCTTGTAGCATTGTCAATGGACCCTAATCTACACTGACCTTGAACGGGTGAAAAGGACGACAAGCTGGGTCTTTCTGCTAAAGCTGCTACGCGCAAACGCCTATTACTTTTTTAATTTCGTTTTTCCTAGCTTTTTTTTTTTCGTGTCGTCGTTTTCCGTTGGAAGCTTACGCACGAATGATGTATCTCCTTATTATACTAATAAGTGACTTGTCGTTTTGATTTGGACGCTTGTTAATTTCGCACATATCTTTCTTAACAGTTCCTATGCTATTGCGTATCTGTGTGTGTAGTAAGATATTACCTGGGTCCTGCAGGCCTTCTGCTTCGTAAATGTTTCAAGTCCTACTGCAAAATGTCTGTTGTTTCCTGCTAGACCGATCGTGCCTATCCGTATCTATAGCCTGCACTATGGTAGAGATCAAAAACATCAGCCATAGAGTTGATAAATTAGCTCTTGTTATGATGCTTCAGCGTAATATAAGTCTGTCAGTAGCATCCGGTACACGGAAGTTAACGATCCGAGGGGATATGAAAACTTGTGCCTATCCCATATATATATATATATGTGTATACGACCTGTTCGGTTGATTTATGGGCTTGTGTAGTTCGTAGCAAATGGGAAAAACGGCTGATGGATAATCCTCATCTTTATGTCATGGTCGACGACGTAGGTCCGCGACGCTGCAGGGAACTTAACGCACGAGGTGCCGTATGATTATTTATATAACTACTATTGTATAGTACTGAGGTTAGCTAAATCTCTGTCATGTCGTGTTTTGTGTATTATGAATATCGTCCTGCTTATCCTCGATTCCCCTTCGTATTTGTTGTTGTTGCTGTCGTCGTATTCTGCGCGCGACTACCACGCGAATGTTGTGTTCTGTTCTGTCTAGTCGTCCCCGATTTTCATGTAATAGTATAGACAACGTCGGATCAATGGAGTTTCTAGCTTACCGGAGTCTGTTTCAGGGCCCTTATCAACCTACTTCATACGGAAAGTAACAGTCAAGCAGATGACTCTTGCTGTCGCTGGCGTCGCCGCTAGAGTTATCGCGTTCGTATCTATTGTTTCACTATTTTGTATTGTACAAATCTTTGTCGTTTGTTTCGTTTCCCCTTGTTGCGTACGTATGTGCACAAAGTTATCGCGCTTAAACTTGTCGGGGTCGTTCGTTTTTGGATTATTATTCTTTAATCATTTACTGGTTAACTGCTGTTCGACGACGATTTAGAGACAGCGATGGATCGTATCTTTGCACATCTTAGTCTCGGCTAGCGAGAGATATGTATGGAAATAGAGCGAACAGGAGTATAGAGGAACAATTGCTAATACGCTAAAGCAACAGCTGTTTACTGTTGGAACTGGGAAAAAAAATCGATATCAGCAACCGTATAAACGTAACTTAAGTAAAACAAAAGTTATTCATCTATTTTTTTCACATCGCATCAACGATTCGTGCCATGTTGGAGCTAGCGTTGGCGTCTGCAGCCTTACGACAGTTTCTGCTACTTTCAACTGAACAGCTTCTTCTTGGTATATCACACATCTCGTAACGATTTCCACATATACTATATATGCGTGTGTATATAGATATAAACATATCATCCCATATACATCTTCTGCAATAGCTACACTTTTTGACGAAACGATTCTAGAGAGGAAATTAAGATGATCTCAGACACCTTTCGGATAAATCAAGCTATTATTGACCGAGCTTAAAACAGAATTGATATACCCGTCTCCTGCTTGACATGTACCGTATCTGTGTACCGACATAGACGCCCAAGATCGATAAGCAGACAAAAATCAAAATGCGATACTTGCACGCATTTGTATGTTATCATTGTCGCTGCGTCCCGGGAAGAACTTCTGCCGAACCGTGATGAAATATTATGCATTATGTTTTTGACGATAGCCATTGTTGAGGCGTAGCTCTGACGAACTGCTGATCCCTGCCGTTGGCTGGATCAGAGCATCTAGTACAACTGCTCGCCAGTCACACTGCACGTGCACTGGCGGCAAGCCTTTCGATCAAATCACTTTCTCCGAATGAATAGGTAAAAATGACCGGCTGAAATTTTACGTGCAAAACTTTACTCAATTCTAATTTAATGCGATACTTTTCACCAAGTTCATCACGGCGGAGTTCGGCAGCTTGAACCTATTCTGCCCAGTGGTCACTATTGGGCCGTGCGTGCCACCTATGGCTAAAATTAAGCCCGACCCGGACGGGCCATAAGCTGCGTTGTGCTGATCGCGCCCGCCGGTTTGTCGTTTCGGGCAGCAGAATCATAAGGATACCTGATGCTCATCTAGCGGTCACTGAGCTCCAAATGCCAACCGCTCAGCGGCACAAAAAGTCCGATACACTCCACCGGTCGGACGTTGCTAGAGTAGCTGAACAGTGACAAGGGCGTGACGCTTTACGGAACGAAACGAATTATATAGTGCTTCAATCGCTAACAAAATCGTCGCTGACCGTTAAGGTAGATCCGCTGATCGAACGTAGGAGACCCATAATGATATTATAATGAGCGTCCAAAATGAAAACAAGCTACAACAAGAAACTATACAATGAAGCCATATTTCGATATGGCGCACCAATCAACGCAGCGGCTCGTTCCCTACAGGCTCGATCGAAGATGCAATGATTCTCTCAGGTTTTTTCTGACTGCCAAGTCTAATAACAAGGACAATCGTAACATAAGCGATATCCGCGTAAGGAGTAACGACGTCGGCTAGTTATCGTTGATCATAATATAAATTAGGAGTAGGACACATTTAGAGAATGAAAAAGTACATAGACATATTATTATTATTATAGAAGAATACTAGCCATTTAATTATACTAACTATACAGATAGCAAAGATTATGGCGGTAATTATGGCTGCGCAGTGAATGTCGGGCATTGCGCATGCGCTGTAACGTAAACATTATATAGGATAATATGCAGCTGTAAAAGATGGTGATGTCATAGTGATGATACAGTTTGTCGGGTGTTTTTTCATTGGATGCTATGAGACATGCTGTGCCAAATTTGAGTTTTGTTTTTAATGTCTTTTGTCTGCTGTTCGATGCCACTGTTCTCTCTATGTACCTATTTGCTTTAGCGCATGCTATGAGATGATTTCCTTGTCAGGTTCTGGCAAACATTATTTCATAGATCACAAAATTTTGCTCTCGATAAATGATTCGATAATTTGGTTTGTATACGTAACTGTGATTTCGAGATAGCAAGTCAGGTGTGTACTATTCTCGAAATGACCATTGATTGCTATTACTGTCTTCATTGTTTTATGACTGTGACTTTTTATTGAGTTCGTCTGCGATCGTTCGTTGTCGCCGCATCAGTGTGAGCCGGGGTCGCACTGTAACAGGCGCACTATTGAGGGGTCGCTTTTAGCGCCCTCTATGAACTCCTCAAGAGACAATCTACCATCCTGATTTTTGTCCATCTGTCGAAAGATTTTGTCTGTCCGCTTTTCGGGCGTCGACTCGTCTTCAGGCATCTTCATCACGGAGCCCACCATCTTGTAAATTGCCTAACAATATATCAAAAACCGAGAGGATCATATGGTTACTTCGAGTGAGCGACAGGCAGGCTCTTAGAATGCTAGCTGAAAATGAGGATTGCAAAAAAAAAGAAAGAAAGCATTGAGAAGAGGGGAGGAAAGCACTGAAATTGACTTGTAAACGTCTTGTCATAGCAAATGCTATACTGAAAAAATCACCCAATCTCTTTATCATGATGGCACCACTTGCTGATATAATACGGGTAGAGCTTTCACGTTTTTCAGTTCAGCCCAACGCAGCACGACTCTGCCGCATCGTCGACATGTCCGGCCGTAAATGCACCTAGTTTGTCATATAACGGTATAAACATACATGGTCCGTTCCCATAACACGTTTGACATGTAGTTTCGTTACTATACTTACGGTGACAATTTCAAGCATTTCGTGATGCGAGATGTAGCCATTGCCGTCCAAATCGTACATGGAGAAGGCCCACCTATGATGGTAAAAGTTCTGCATTAAAACGTGCACGACCCTTATCCGAAATACTAATATAGTGATGTATCATAACACTTTTTCATCAGCGTAACAAACTACTTCTTTGTTTGTTACTACAAAATTTGAAAACGGTAGTGTAGGTAAACTGAATTACTGCTGCTACTACGATTATAATCGTCATTATTATTCCTAATTAATAAGTATTATATATGTATATATAGGTAGGTATGTACCTAAGCTTCTGCTCGAGTTTGCCCCTGGAAGTGACCGAGAGCGCACAAAGGAACTCCCGGAAGTCGATCGATCCGTCACCGTTGGCATCGAACGTGCGGAACACATGTTCTGCAAATTTGCTCGCATCGCCATACGGGAAGAAGTTGCCATAGATCTTTTTGAACTCCTCGATTGACAAATGGCCCGAGGGGCAGTCCTTCAGGAATCCTTTATACCACTCCTATGAATGCAGAAAAAGTTTTACGTCGCGACACGTCAAAACAAAGAAAAACTCTGCGCGATAGACATGTAGATAATGAAACGAATATAAAAAGTTTTAATAAATTGACGTTCGGGACACAATATTCAAATCTAATCATGTTTACAACACGCCGGTATAATAAAGGAAACATCAATCCTTGACGTTGTTTACGTGCCCTTTAAGTCTGTCACCGTTTTCAGATTCACTATCGCTGAGTCACAGTGGATTACGTAATACTGTCATCCATGATGTTCCTGTTTCTATAATGCAAATACGTACCATTGTCGTTTTATTCACTCACCTGTATCTCGGCGTCCGTAAACTCCGTGTTCTGCCTCAGGTCTTCAAGCACTTCGGGCTTCAGCTTGCTGTTATGCTTACCCATTGTGTGTAAACTGAGAGGAAAGCGAAGAGGTAACCCAGGTTTTGTTGTTACTATACTTGGCCTTGGTCGTTTGCCTTTATTGGTCCTGTTGTCCGTTAGCTATCTTTTTTGTCGATTAGTTATCGGCTTAGCTGTTATTATCTGCTTTTCGAGATTTGCTACAGCTGTTCAATGAACCTGTTGCACTATTCGATAAGCTGCTGACCACGTCGAATGTACTTCACACGTTCAATCAGTAATCGCGTGTGCTTCATTCACTTCAGCACGAATCGCGTGCTGATAATCATCGGGATGATGCGGCTGAGTGCGCCGTACTCAGTTTCCATGAATACTTGTTGATGTTTTTTTCAGCTGCGATGTAACAACGATGAGTCATTACTAGTATTATATTAATTTATATTAACAATTAATAGAATTATAACAATTATAATAAATAAACGTGCAGCGCGAAACGTGAAAGTTTTCACGCAGGCTTCAACGCCGACGTGTATTTTTCTTAACAAACGTGCTGTAAAAGCGCTAATGATTGATTCTTTTGACTGCCGGTAATGAATAGCAATGATGATGACAATAATAATACCAGTGCAGAATGTTGGCTATATGCGTCCTTTCTGATACGATTCCTTTACGTCGAGATGCTTTATTGAACAGTTTAGGCGGTTAGTCGCAAGGTTACTTGGGTTGAGTCGTGATGAGGTACTGAGGTTTTTCAAGTGTTTATCAAATAGCGCTTCTGTTTTGAAGTTGCATTAAAGCTCTTGCGTATTTGGTTGTTGTTGTTGTTGTTGTTGTGTTCGAAGTAATCGAGGATTACCGCGGTAATGATTTGTTCGATGACGATGGGTGATTATACACAAGTGCCACTTCTAATGCTTTTTTTGCAGTAGTTTTTAGCTCTATTTCAGTGTCTGTGCGTTAATACCGAGTCAGCATTGATTGATTGATTGATTCGCCGAAACGCACGTTGTCACCGGCAGAGCACGCAGTCTACAAACGCTGATCTTCAGGTAGTCACGAAGGAAATCGCAGTAGGCTATACAAACATCGACACACACACAAAAATATATCTAGTCGTCAAATATTTGAAGATGAAATAAAGCATTAAAGGAAGCGTTACACAGTAGGGATCTAGGTCTTTTTTTTTCTATAAAATGTGCCCTATATTGTACATTAGATAAAGGCCACCACGAAAATGAGAAAGAGATATACACTAAAAACGATTGAAATATATTGTTTGATTTAAATGAACCAGGTGGGCATAATGGAGGGAAAAGAAGAGAATTAGACGTCCTCCTTTTCGGAACTTTAGCAATTTTATTGTATCTGTTTAAATCTGATAACGATTTTTTTCACTCTCGGCGCACTATGGTGAACAGATATAAAAATTAACCAGGAACGAGGTTCTCCAGATTTCGGAACTGCCTATTAGCAAAGAAAAATCAGTTACTGACTAAAGGGGGTAATCAGTTTGAATCAATTGAAAGAAGAACGTGTAATTATGGACAACTTCAAAGGAATGCCCACGTCTACTCATCAGTCGAGCAGTGAAACTATGGCGAGCACTTGAAATTTATCGGCCTATGGTGCGGAAAAAACTTTTTTGCAATTTCGGCACGGTTAAGAGAATAGCTAGAAAAACAGACGTACTAAAGACTTTCTGCCACCGACCATGGTTACTAATTGAAGTACGAAAACTGTTTATGTCTATAGGGAGAAGATCACACGACAGGTGGCGGCCGCCAACAACCGCGCTCAGAGCGGAAACCCGTTACGGACGCTCAGTGGGTCCTAGCGGCATTCTAAAGCACAGCAACGCATTACAAAAGAAAAGCTTATCTATGGAAACCTTCAACGTAAACAGCTTAAAAAGGGGAATGTTTCATTTGAGCGCACTCTTCGAGAATGCAAACAAGGCTGACGTTAACCTATATCTCTTGGCCTAGAGATAAGGCTTCGTGTCTACCCCTTTGTTTTTTTGCCCGCGTATATTTGCAGTAGTATATGTATCGTAAAAGCCTTGGCGCAGCAAAAAGCTAGGCTTTAACAGCAGGCATGTCTTCCTTTAATATATAATAACTGAAGAATTTACATATTTGTAGAGAACTAAATTTAAAGGACGTTGGCCAGCTGGGAGCACATGGACACAAGCACATACTAGATCAGGCTAAGTTACTATGAAGAAAAAGCCCTTCATTTAAAATCAATGACATAGCCCCGTTGCTATTAGTGTCGATTCTAAATGACTAGAATGTAAACCAAAGGTAGGAAGAAGGAATTAAACGATACCACTGATGATCCTAATAACTTGAAATATGCATTAACCGCGCTTGCATACCCCTCGTTCAATAATCAGGTAATAATAGGAGCTCAAAATGCTTAGTGATAAGGACAGAAGAACTATCAATACCTTCAACTTTATATTGTAAACAATATGAATGGTGAAGCAAACAAGCATCAAAAAAGGTATCAGCCTAAGGACTCACCTTAGAGGCTGGGTGGCGACAGTTGAACGTGAAGTTAGACTTGAGGGCTGATGGGGAGGGGGAACAAGTTCAACGGCGGTAGTAGTAATGTATAATCACAACACTTGAAGCATTCTTGGTTTCAGAGGATAGTTTGTTGCGATGATAAGTTATAGCACAGTTAATTCGGTTCGTGCTAACTAGTTAGTTGGCCCTTCCTTAGTCCCTTCGGTTTGTCTGGTTATTTTTTGCAGATTTATTCTTTAGGGAAACAGTAAAAGTCGTAGTAATAGTTGATTGATAGTTGTATTACTAACATATGGATACGTATGAATACTAGTTGTTCCTGTTATCGCTTCGGAGTGAACAAATTCACCCGGCTTAGAATGGCCTTTTAGGCAGCAAAGGTCGGCCTACTGCAACTCGAATAATCACGAAGTTCGCAACGATAGCGGCATGCGACGCGGGGGCGTCTCGCGACAGATATTGAAGTAAACTATAATATCATATAATAGGAAATTGGTAGACAAGAGAAGACGCGAAGTACAATAGTTACTGTTGTTGTATAGAAAAAAAAGTAGACTTCATTAATGCCGGAGGGCTAGATAGAGGAGACTGAGAGGGGACTGCCGATATGTTTCGGAAGCAAGGCTCGATTCAGATTAAACAAGAGCTTGGAGAACCTACGAAGACTTCGCAGCTATGGAGCAATTCAGAACGATAATAATGAGCAAGATAAGGACAATGGTAACGCGTTAGATACTAGGTAATATGAAGGGACGGTTATGCACTCGAAATGTTGATGTTCTGTGATTACAGCCGTTTAGATGGCTGTTTTTCCTGATACTATTTTTACGCCTATTTATGATGTTTTGACAATAGCTGAAGTTGGTATTGTTATGTTCGTCGCTGCTGCAGTCGTGAACTCGTCTTTCGACAGGTCCTGCAATATATGAGACGCCAAGTGGACGCAGATGGCGGGTAGGCGCAAGAGCAGGCAGCCGTTGATGGTCTGACGTTGCAGATCTGCACGTATTTCTGCAATTGCGTCCTTAGCCAGAAAGCATGAATTCGTTAATAGAAGCAATTGATGTAATCGAAAATAGGTCTGAACGCGATGCTTATTATTTGGTTCCCTTGAAGCGGACACTACCCATATAGGCGTAATACTTAGCAGTCCCAGAGTGCGACATGTAGCAATATACGTGTTGCAGTATCGCCACTCACTTGTACGTGAAGTGTCCGTGAGCGTTACCGAATTTTAGCAGTAATTACCAACCTCTTGCTTGAAGTGTGGGATATATTCTATTTCCGTAGTGTAATTTTCTTGTTCATTCGTTCGTTTGCTCGCTCGCTCGCTCGCTCGCTAGCACACGTATTCATTTAATGGTACGAGTAAAACGCCAGGTTCCTGAGGTCCGTGGCAGCAAAAGTAGTTATATAATTATAGGAATAAAAAACCGAGTGATGCTTCTTGCTCTTGTTGAATGTTATTGTATACGTAAAGTTGATATCGTATACTTGTTGTCATTTATCTTCTTGTTGCCGAGCTATTGTGGCATAATGCTTGTGGCTATTGTTGTTTGTGCTGCTGCAATATGTGCAGCAAGCTCGCTGATAGGCGATAGTCAAGTTTCCTTCACTGATGTCTTTGCTGCTGAAGAGCTGTTACAATTTGGGCCTAGAGGCCAGAAGGCCTCAGCTGTACCGACGAATCCACATCGCGCACGGGCGGTAGTGAATATTCCTAAAACGATGAAAATGAGAAAATGGCGACGACATGTTAATAACAGGTTGCAAGCTATGTATTTATTTTAATAAGAGGACTGCATATGTTCCGTCAATTGGTGCTTCTATGGCATGTAGCCCTATTTTGAGCCATATTGACATAAATTTTATGTATAATATCTGTAATGGTAATTTTTTTACAGTTGCGTTGCATCAATATGTGGAATGATGCTACTTTGACACGGGCTGAGATGCGCGGTCACACCGTCAGATAAACTGATAACAGATGATTGTTATATTGCAACTCTTAATAGAAAAAATGCGAAAAAAAAAAAAAAAAACAATTTTCTTGGAGAAACAAGACGTTATGACAATATACATCGTTGCTCTTTTGTAGAGCCGTTGTCGAAAGTCATTTTTTTTCTACTTCTCCATCGAGACTACCTGGACTGGGGAAGGGGGGTATAAAAACAACTCGCAATTATTAACAAAACGGCTCGACTGTGTTATCTAGCGTTTAATTTATCTCACCCTTAATGACTCATACACAAAAAATACTATTTTACTATGACTACACATTCGTAACTTAAAGGTAAAGGTGGAAAAGTAGGTGTTATTAAAATTTCAAAATGTTTGCAACACAACATATCCTTACGCTGAAATTAATAATAAGAACATATCATGACCATATACTATCTACTTTAAACAATTTCTGAATTCTCATCTGCTGCCAGGACAGATGGACTCGTCGTTGTTCGCACACTGTTATAATAAAATCAATTAATAAGAGTTTATCCGATCCGAGAGAAGTTTATCCGATAGTTAACATATGGATAATCGGTGAAATTTCAGGAAACAGATATGAACCGAAACTGCCAGGAAGTTTGTACCAAAAACGAAGTAACTAACTAAGTAGACTTCTAACCAAAATTTACATTGTTAAACCACCCGTTAAGTTCCGTTTGTTTCGAATTTCAAATTCCGTTTGGGATGGCCATTTAACAAATACCAATTAGTATCTTATGGGCAAACCCGATGAATTGACTTCTTATCTAACTGCGATAGAAAAATTAGAAAATCCTTTAAACATTCTTGTGCAGCCAGTAAAGACGTTTAGAGCTCTGTCTAGAGATCGGTCTAGACCCGGATAATTTACAACGGCCGTAAACAGAAACATCAATACAACCGTGTTTCAACACGCTTCCTTTAGGAATGAATATTCATCGACTGTCAGGCAGTTCATATACTCGAATAGGAAACGTATGCTTTGGACAGGATTTCCATTCTATGCACAAATATCAAAGCTATATTGCAAAAACAGGATCTGTTATAAACAGAGTGCTAGACTGCTGTAGAACGTACCAGAACCGGTTGGCTAGAAAAATTATAAATAGAACATATTAGATACCATTAAATAAAGGCAAACAATAAAAAATGTACTCGCGGTCGAGACTATTTTGAGAGCAGACCACTTTTGCGGTAGTAGTCCGTTAGGTTGTAGCTAGTCAGCGTCACCTGACTTGCAAGTAAATCCCTGCTGAGCTCAGCTGCGCACCATTTTTCTAGGCATAAGTGTCATAGATTAACAAACAGCATTCTTAATGAAAACTTCACGACCCACACTCCTTATTGATTGGGGAAACACTATTAGCGGGGGTAGAGACTCCCCAAAAATTTGTTAAAAGACGTAAATGAATAATGAATGCGCGTGTCTACGGCCTGCTCGCCCGGTACGAAGTTCGTATGCAACGCTGTCACGGAGCCTAACTGCTGGTTACATAATGATGACTATCTTTGAGTTTACGAGGTGGCAGATTGGGAATTCAATTTTTTAGCGTAAAATTTGCCGGGCGAGTGATATCTGAGGAGAAATTCAGGCTTAGACATTTATTTTTATTGTAACCTTATGTTCACATAGCGATCGTTATGACAACTATAGACATAAAAGTTGAGTCGTTTTTCCTTTGCTAAAAATATAGTGATGTCATTTCATCGGCGTCTTAGACGGGTATGAAACTGCGACAGCCTCTGGATGCATATAGCTGCATATTTAGCTTTGTGGAATTTAAAAAAATCTAATTTTTCAAAGTTCTGATTTATCCGATCCGCGCGATAGTCCACGACACACACAGCCAGTTGAAGAAGCATTGTGAATCGACCAGACAAATAGATGTTGTGCTTTATGACGAAGTTAAAAATGGTTGAAAGCATTGAATGCCAGTCGATCGACCACTTCCATATGTCTGACATGCCTCCAAGACTATAAGGCCCGGTTCAGTTCCCAGCTGCCGAAAGCGTTCCTGATGTATTAGGTTTCCTATGTAGGACAAACTTTGTACTTACAACCGGATACGGCAATATGGGACCGATTATTCAACGATGCGCTGTAGTTTACTAAATTGTAACGACATAATAACGATTACTTTTATTTGACAAAATTACACACACACACACACGTTTAAATCTAGATCTGTTTCTCAGGAATCCATACATTAATACAAAAGTTCTTATGAACTATCAGCTATCCGATGATTTCAGAATCGGCAATTGATTAAATGTTGGAAAATGTACACCAGGAGTATCATTAACAAGCTGTCCTATAGCGTGCTCATATGGAAGATACACGTAGTATCGGACACCTGTGATGGACATATATCCACTTCTAAAATCAGGGCACCGAACCTATTTCTGCTGAGTCAGAATCAGAACCTAACAGCCAACTTCTCTCATGCTCAATGGGGACAGTAATCGATTTGTTAAAGAATTTAATTTTTCCATAACAATAAGTACGTTATTATATAAACCCAAAGATGTTTTCTTGAATAGTTTACCTCCAGTGGGGTCTAGACATTATTTGTGGGTGAGAAAGCTTAATTCCATTCTACAATACACTTGTTAAAAGTGGATCCTGTACGCAACAACAGATTGAAAGGCCATAGCTGAGAAGTGCCTTAGCTTTTTCTCACAATTTATAATACGCAAAGTTATCTGTAATCATAAAAACACAAGCTTAGCAGAAAAAATTGTACTCTGTAGTCTATTTCTTCCTATTACATACGTTTCTTTGATTGATACTTATAAATGCAAACTCTCGATCATGCACCACCGCAATTCTGTCCGTGTCCCATAACATTCTGGTCGGCCGCAGCCGAAAACAGTCTAAGACCTTCACAGTTTTAATGAGAATATGAACTCAGCGCATATTGATATAGATGATGGCACTCTTTTTCACTCTGTCGAGACTAAGTAAAATTTATACGAACACAAATTTCGCGCTAGAAGCCTCTCGCGGGTAGGCCCCCGTTTCATATACTCCGATAATTAAACTGGCGCTGGGGCTTCCACAAGTGCGAACAGCATGTCGCTGGTGCCTTCGCAATTATTGAGGCCCCACCGAAAACCAAAAGTTGATCCACATGTGTCGTTGAAAGCCTGAACCATTACTCGTCAACCTATTTAAGTTTTGGTTGTATGTTTGAAAGCAGCGTGTTTCAACAATGCGCTGTTTCTCTAATATAAGTTAGTCACGCCAAATAAATAGCACCGAGTAAGTTAATGACATGAAAAAGACATACGTAGTGGACTCATGCTAGCCTCAAAGCACACTGGGCATAGTAGATTGCATGTGAGTTAATCTGTCACGGTGTAACTTTGAGTGAACAGATTTACAGATTCTTTGGTTGGGCTACACAGATGCAAGATTCAAGCTGGCGAGTTTCTGACCAAGTGTATCATATGTTGAGTCTTTCATTATACATAGGAGTTAACCAACATCAACAGGCAACAAAGGACTGCCATTAAGGAAAACGCAGAAAAAGCTTTATTATATTTTCTAAGTAGCTTCCACATATTTTGCTTATAGCGTGTAACAGCTGTTGTGAAGTTCTCATTTATTTGTTCTATTATTATTATTATTATACTTCGTTATATACATAAATCGTGATATTAAATTTGTAAGTTTTTAACACACGCATGCTAATTTCACACAGAGTAACCAAGATTCAATGAGTATCAGCGTGAATTACTATTTGTCTGCGGTTCCGCAATGCTAGGAAATCCGACGATCTTTTCTATTAGTGATATAACATCGAAATTGAGACAGTTCTCAAAAAATAAGAAGCTTGCCCCTTTGCTATCTGGTAGACTCTTCGTTCGGATTCGAATTTGAAAGGCCGTGTACATTTTTGTTCTCTTTGAACAGCCTCACCGCATAGCGTAGCAGCTTTCGAGTGGACACGAGGCTGGAAGGGGTGGAATTGAAGGGCAGCGATATCACGAAGTTAGGCGTTTGATACAGGTTGTGCGAACAGGTTCAGAACTTTAAGGTTGCTCTCTCATCCTTGCGAGGGGCAGAGGCGGCCCAAACCAAGATCGCAAACCTGGATCGGACACACGGTCCCGATAAGGGATGAGCTCTGGACATAAGCGTTGGGCTAAATTCTGCCAGGTTTGTTCATAGTAGAGCATGACTATATATATATATATATATAAATCTATTCTACTCATTCATAAATCTAGGCTCTATGAATTTGACCCCGCAAATTACAAGCTCGAAGGTCCACACACAGAGTGCGTGAGGGCATAACGGCCAACGGCAGGTCCTTCGTCCAGAGTACGTTTAATGCCTGTAGGAAGTATCTACAGGAGGCCTCATAGAGGCGAATTAGCTTTTGTTCCCTTGGGAACTTCTGCAGGACGTGCGTGTATCTTTTCGCCGTTTACCGCCCTATTCTCTGCTTTGTAAAGGTTTTCCGTTATGGAATGACTCGGGAGTTACCTACTGGTGGAACCTTTTGCTAGGCATTGGGCTACATGGCCTAAACCCATTCATGGTGGCATTTTATTTTTGTAAGCTAAACAGCCACTTAGCGAGTCCTTCCAAAACTGCCACCAAAATATCAGTTCGCACAAAGCTGTAATGTCACTAATAAATCCTACTCGCTTAGCGAGCTTCTGCTGGATGTCCAGTCAATGAAATAAAGCCTCCTGTCGTCACACTATTCATCCGCTTCCTCGACG